AGCCTGTGTGGGCTGCCAGGCCTTCTGCAGAGGTCCTTCTCTGGGTCCCACCACCCTCACAGGCATGCTTGGTGGGAATGCAGGTCAGGGCCCCCTCAGTGCTTGCCCCAAATCTCTGGAAAACCCTTTGTGGGGAGACTAGGTTGGCACCTTCCCTGCTGGGTTCCCATACCCAGCAAAACCCTTTTATTGCATCAGGTATTTGGGAACGGCCTGTGAGTTTGCACTGAATTAGTTTCACTGATGATACCTTTGTGGTGTTTTTAATCTGGGTAGTGGTTCCATTTTAATGTTTAATTGATATCATTACATTTTTAAACCGTGATTGTATGTTTCCTGTCCACTGCTTGATCAGTTTTGATGTGGAGCAGCACAGAAGCCCTGCCAATAAGTGAGATAATAAATACGTTGGTCCAGCAAAGTGTATTCTGACTGGGGATGCTGCGTGATTTGATTCTGTCTGCATTTTGGCAGCGAGCTGACCTGATTCTTAGTTTGTGGACTGCTATAAGGAGTTATGTCGGATCAGAGCTGGGTTGCCTTTTATCCAGCACTCTGTTTACAGTAACCAGCTGGTTCACAGAATCCTAGAACAGTAGAGTTGGAAGGGATCAAAAGGGCCATGGGCCCTGCTCAGGGCAGGACTCCCAGCTAAACTGTCCCTCTCAGGTGGCGGCCCAGCTGCAGCTTGAAGGCCTCCAGTGTGGGAGAGCCCACCACCTCCCTGTGCTGTGGGTCCCGTTGCTGTACTGCTTTAAGTTCTTCCTGATGTCCAGCCGGAACCTGGCTTCCTGCAACTTGAGCCCCTTATTCTATGCCCTGTACTCTGGGATGGTCGAGACGAGACCCTGCCCTTCCTCTTGGTGGCAGCCTTCCGAGGACTTGTAGAGCGCCGTCCTCTCTCCCCTCTTCTCAAGGCTAAACAAGCCCAGGTTTTCCAATCATTCTCAGGGCTTTGCCTCCAGTCCCTGGATCATCCCTATTGCCCTCCTCTGGACCCTTTCCAGCTGGTCTCTAACTCTCTTAAACTCTGGTGCTCAGAACTGGACACAGCACCCCAGGTGAGGCATGACCAGTGCTGAGTATTTATTTATTTAAAACTTTTATATGCCATCTCTTATGCATGGCATCTCAGGATGGCTTACAATCATTAAAATCTGAAAACAATAAAACAGTCTATCGCAATATAATAAATAACATATAACCAGTAAAAATAAATTAAATTAAATTAAATCAAAAGTGACTGATAAAACATTAAAATACTAATTTCTAAAATAACGAGTGAATAAAAAGGTTTTGACCTGGCACCGAAAAGAATAGAAGCTCAGCTTCAGGCGAACCTCTCCGGGGAGTGCATTCCACAATCTGGGCGCCACCACAGAGAAGGCCCTACTCCGAGTAGAGGGGAACTAGCATTTCACAAGCTTCGGAATGACCCTTCTGTTAACGCAGCCTAAAAGAGCATTTTCCTTCACATCACTTTTGCCTGAGGGAAGCTTCCAAGTAGGGCATGAGCTCCACACTGCACCCCCGTGGTTGCATTACCCCAACGGACGATGCATCTCCTGCCACTGGAAGTAAGTGGAGCAGGACAAGTGCTTCTGAAGAGCTTTCTCCTCCGTGAACTGGTCCCATTTCCTCCAAAGCCATCCAAACTGGGGGGCAAGCCTACCCTGTGGTCATGATTTGCATAATTTAAGGAAGTGCTATATGAAGAACAGCCGATTCCTCTGTCCCAAGTCTCCCACCAACTACATGGGATGAGCCCAGACTCTAATCTTATGAAAATGGGAGGAAAACATCTCTAGGATGCTTTGGTTTTTACAGTTCTCTTTGCAGTTTTTCAGTGAAATCTGCTCAAAAAGGGATCAAAATGCATATTTTAGATGAAAATGAATACAGAAGCATAGACTTCAAGCTAAAATGTTTACAAAAATGTGCATTTCATGAAAACACATAAAAATGCTACAAATATCCAGGTAGAGGGGCAGGAGGGATGGGACAGATTTAGAAGTGAAAGCGATATGGACTGGAAATGGACTGTTCCATATTTGTGTGAGTTGCTGATGTCAGGAGGTGGGGGCCCGAGGAGACTCCCCTGCTGAACTTTTAAAAAATGCCTTTTCCAGCTCTATCCCCACCTCCCCCATGCCTTGAACTGCAGTTTCTCTACAAGAGAAATTACAGCTGAAAACATTCTCAGTGGATCCTTCTAATTAAAGAGTCTTATGATGTGAAAGTGAAGAGGAAATAAAGAGCCTCTTGATGTGGGTGAAGGAGGAGAATGCAAAAGTTGGCTTGAAACTCATCATTAAGAAAACTAAGATCATGGCATCTGGTCCTCTCACTTCCTGGAAAATAGATGGGGAAGAAATGGAGATAGTGACAGATTTTATTTTCCTGGGCTCCAAGATCACCGCAGATGGGAACTGCAGCCAAGAAATTAAAAGACGCTTGCTCCTGGGGAGGACAGCTATGGCAAATCTAGACAGCATACTAAAAAGTAGAGACATCACCCTGCCAACAAAAGTGCGTATAGTCAAGGCTATGGTCTTCCCAGTGGCAATGCGTGGCTGTGAAAGCTGGACCATAAGGAGGCCTGAGCGCCGAAGGATTGAGGCCTTTGAATTGTGGTTCTGGAGGAGACTCCTGCGAGTCCCTTGGACTGCAAGGCGATCAAACCGGTCAGTCCTAGAGGAGATTGACCCTGACTGCTCTTTAGAAGGCCAGATCCTGAAGATGAAGCTCAAATACTTTGGCCACCTAATGAGAAGGAAGGACTCCCTGGGGAAGAGCCTAATGCTGGGAACAATAGACGGCAAAAGAAGGAGGGGGCGGCTGAGGATGAGGTGGCTGGATGGGGTCACTGAGGCAGTTGGTGTGGGCTTGGGTGGACTCCAGGGGATGGTGGAGGACAGGAAGACCTGGAGGAGTGTTGTTCACGGGGTCGCGATGGGTCGGACACAACTAACAACAACAACATGACATGAAAGCAGAGCTGAGCAAAATGACCTCACAAAACAGCAAAGGAGGAATGGAAAAAAGGGTCCACACTAATTGCTGCTGACAATAATCAAATGGACCCTTCCAGGCTGCTCTAAACACGCACCAGAGCTGCACCATTTTTTCCCTCTCCCCTGCTTCTGTTATTTGGGGGTCAGACTAGATGGCCTGAGAAGCTCCTTCTGACTCACTCTGTTTCTATGTTTCTATTGAGGTGCACAAGGCTTCCAAATTGGGGGCCTCCCTTGTATTGAGGGTTTGGAGCCCACGACTCTCCAGTTCCCCTTGGACTGCTTCTTTCAGCAGGCCTGCCCACTGGCCACACTGGGTGGAGCTGGTGGAGGTTGAAGTCAAGCACTCTGAAGGACCACCTGTTCTCTACCCCTGTGTTATATCCTTGCTAAATCTCCATATCTCGGTATCTTTATCTATCTATGACTGCCTGTCCGTCTATCCTGACAGAAAGATAGATATGAGGATAGAGAGGGAGAGATGATAGGAACCAAGGTTCAATTTGGATGCTGGGAAGCACTTCCTGACAGTCAGGACCCCGAGGGCGTGGAATGGGCTCCCACAGGAGGTGGTTGAGGCCCCATCGGTGCGGGTGTTCAAGGATAGGCTGGACGTCCACATGGTGGGCATGTTGTGAGCGGAGCCGGCTGGAGCCAGGGGTCAGACTAGATGGTCCAGGAGACCCTTCTGACTCGCTCTGTTTCTATGTTTCTGTAGGATGGATGGATGGACAGACAGACAAATGGATGGACCGATGGGCAGATGGATGGACAGATGGACAAATGATAGGCAGGCAGGCAGGCTGGGATTTTACACACACACACACACACACATCTGTTGCCGTAGCTATCTATTTCCCCCAATCTCCTGCTGTTCTACCAAAATGGCACTCAGGGAAGCTAATACCAAGATGAAAAGCAACATCTTAATTAAAACCCAACATAAATAACCATAAATTGAAAAATGCAATGAAAAACACAAGCGCAGAGGGACCCTACTGCTAGAACCCCTAAACCCCCAAACACGGGGCTGTCAGCTGGCGCAGGGCGGGAGGAGAGCTGAGCATCCTGCCCCGCATCTCCAGTGTGGGGGAGCCTTGGCCCGTCCTGCAAAGGCAGTGTTCCTGAGCGGGAGGGAGGGAGACAGGGCACCTCGGGGTGGCTTGTGCCCTGGCTTCTCCACTCTCCTCCTCGCCTACCCAAATGCCCCCCTTTGCCCACTGGGCTCCCCGCTTTGCAAAGGAAGCTGGCCTGATTCTTTCTGCACTGACTGCGAGACATGGCGTTCCAGTGCCTGGCTCTGAGGTCTGAGTGCAGCCCCTGAATCCAGAGCTGGAAATCTGACTCCCAAAGACCGTCTATGGGCCATGGAGTTGCTCCCTCAGAGAAGCAGCCAGCGCTGGCCAGTTCTGTCCTCATCCCCAACAGCCAGGCTTCCATGCCAAAGGCGCATCTGAATGAACATCCTACTGGCTTGCGAGAGGAAGGGCAACAGAGAGGGGCCGAGAAAGCCCCCTCTGCGGGGAGGGCCACCGCTTTGGCGTGTCCCCATCCCACGTGGTCCTGAGGGTGGCTGCACCAAGAGGAGGCTCTCCCTGTGGATCTGGAAACCTAGGCAAACCTGTTGCAGGGAAGAGAGCATTTCAGGAATATTTCTGAAGTGGAAGGAAAAGGAGGAGGAGGAAGAGGAGAAGAAGGAAGAAGGAAGAGAAGTAGAGAAGCAGCAGCGGCAGCTTTGGCATCACTGCCATGCTTTGCTCCCCTGAATGCCATCAGCTCCCTCCCTCCTTCCTTCCTTCCTTCCTTCCTTCCTTCCTTCCTTCCTTCCTTCCTTCCTTCCTTCTACATGTGTTTACAGGTTGCCTACAACGGCTGAGGCCTTCCTGGATGGCTTACAAACCTCTTGTGTCAGTGCTAAGCTGTCCCCACACAATTTCCCTGGGACACAGGCTGGGTGTGAGCATCACAGGAGAAGGCGAGCCATACCTTTCCACCCAGTTCTTGTAGCTGGGAATATCCTTGGCATAGAGGAGCTTATTCGAGGGGGAATCTTTGCCTAAGCGGTGCTCTGAGGTCGAACAGGAGTCCATGAAGGTTTGTGCTACCACTGACAGGCAGGCGTCCGTGATACTGTTTTTGTGGATGTCGAAGACAAACTGGGGGTTTTTGATCATGTTCACCCAAAACCTCAGTGGCAAGCTGCAGGAAGGAGAGAGAGGAGAAAAAGGGAGGTGTCATTCACCAGCTCATGCTGTCTTTGTCTGGGAGGTGTCTGGCTTCCTATCACAGTTTCACACTTTCCCCGATGTTTCTGAATAGCCTAATCGTGCAGGATTGTGAGAAGTGGTAGGAAGCAAAGCATCAAAAACAAGCCGCAGTTCAGCTTATTGGCAGAGCTGCAATCATGAAGACAAACTTGGGGTCCCCAATCCTATGGATCTCTCAAATATGGCCACGCTTCTCTTGCAAGCAGAGACTTTCTTTTCTTTTCAGGACTCTAAATATCAATAGGAAGTACTGCAGCTGGGAAAATAACCTTGGGGGAATTGGCAAGGTGTAGGAAGGAATATGGCTGAAACCTGCTGGTTCATATTTAATACAATTTGACTTAACATGCACTTCTCAAACAAATACACAAACCAGAACATTCTCTGTCGATTTTTGTGCCTCTCTGACATTTGTATAACAGTTCTGCAATTAAAACTATATACACAAATGTGTACATTTCAGAAAAGTGTGCAAAAGGATGCATATTAGGAATGGGGCCTGCAAAGAAGAGCTTGTATTAAAGGAACTGGCTCACAAAATACGTATATTAAGTTTTGTGTGGACACTTAGCAAGAAGATTCACAGACTGACAGGTTTTCTTGTCCGTGTTCCTCTTCTGCAGGAGTTTGGAGAGTGTTTAGCCATGACGAGTTCACCTGGCAATTATAATGTGGGGGTTTGCTGTCGCCTTCCACATTATGGGGCCTCCCTCTTGCTGGCAGTTTCCCACCCTGAAGTCCAAGTGGCACCCTCGAGCTCGGTGCCTGATCAATGCAGGCACTCCTGCTGCGGGAACTGAGAGGGAGTCTAATTCCTCAAAGCTCCACAGCATTCCTGGTCAAACTTCTCCATGCAGAAACACTGGTTTTCCCAGGGTTTGGTGATTTACCCCTTGCTGCCAAAGCCTCAGCATTCAGCTCTGAGGTCCTCAGTCCCCTCACCCCGTGGAAGCAGGTGCAGTCCCGACAAAATGTGAAATGGAAACCGCAATCTTTCTCTTGCAAAGGAGAAGCACGGTGTTCTCCAGCACCAACAACTTCATCATGAATGTCTCCCTCTCCACTTTCTCCAGCCCGTGGGGAAAGCAGAAGCATGCCCCTCCTGTCTCCCCTTCCTCGCCTCTTTCTGAAGCTGAACAGTCCCTGGTGTTGCAGCCGCGGAAGCTGCTCCAGCCCCCGATCAGTTTTGCCGCCCGTCTCTGTACTTCTCCCAGCTCAGAAAGGTGCTTCCATGACCTGTTTGCAGTTAAGGGCTGCTTTGTGTGAGAATGGGGTCTTTTCCTTCACGGAAGCGGCTTTGCCCGTGTCCTCCTGGAAGGAAGGCATGGAGCCTGCATGTTCAGGCAGCTTTTCAAACAAGGGAAGGGAAGAACTTTAAACAGTCCATGCAAAAGTGCTGTCCTTTGCTCTCTGCCTGGGGAGAGGAATCGGTGCATGGTTTGCCCCGTGGGGAGCCCCCCCCCCCAAATTTGGAGGCCCATGGCGCATCCCCTGGCCAATTCAGGGAACCGGTGCAGCCACAGGTCCTCTCGTTTATACTCTGCACTGGCCGTAGAGCAAATTGGGCTTGGTTTCTCCCTAAGTAGCCACAACGCTCAAGGGAGGAGCCCTGGCTGGGCCAGGCCCTGGGCCAGAAACACCCCTGGGCTCCTCTTGCTCGTGGCCTTTGCAGTGTCCTTCGTGCCCCTTGCTCTGAGCCAGATAACAAAGGGGGTGCGAAGGAGGAGCAGGAGATGCCCCTGCCTGGCCCCTGTCAGCAGCAAAACTGCGCCCAAGGGAAGGACGCGGTTGGGGGCCATGCTAGTGAAGAGATAGACCCAGGAGAGGGAGGGTGGCCTGGAGGCTAAAGGGCTGGCTTGGCTTGGCTTGGCTTGGCTTGGCTTGGCCCTGGCCCAGGCCCGGGCCCAGGCCCAGGCCCGGCCCAGGCTCAGGCTCAGGCTCAGGCTCAGGCTCAGGCTCAGGCTCAGGCTCAGGCTCAGGCTCAGGTTGTGTGAACAATCCAGTTTGGAGATGAGCACCCATCTCATCTCATGGATTCCCTTTGCTTGGCTGCCCTGGCCTGCTTGGCCGTGACCCCACGTCGGTGTTCCTGGAGAGGATGCCCAGCCTTGGTGGGGGTGCTCACCAGGAATCAACGCCCTCTTCCACGCCATGTGCCACAGCCTTCGTTTGAGCTGCTGTACCTTGCCGGTTGCACAGCCTTCGTCTCACAAGGGCTTCTGGACTCCCGCCTGGCTTGCTCTCTAAGACCCCACCCCTTCTTTGGACCCCACCCCTTCGGCTGGGCACCCCCTTTCTTCCAGGAAACAGGGATGGAATCTTTCATTTGTGCATTTTTCCCTGTGGTAAAGCGTTGGCCACCCTCTCCTGAGACTTGACTTAGGAGAAGGCAGCAGGAGCTTTAAGCTGCAGAATGCCAGCATTTTCAAGATTGGACCCCCTCTTTTGACCTGCACCCTGTCCCCTGTATGTTTGGCCCACCCACCCACCCAAATCTGGATCCAGAGTTAAATTAAAAATTAAATTGGGACTCAGGCTAAAAACGGCTCCCCACGTGCTGATCTGACTGCCACGGCCGTTCCTTGTCTGGTCCTGATGAGATCTGCCCGAGTCCCTGGGAGCGTGAGCGGCGCTCAAAGGGGATGCTGCCGATGGCCAAAGATGGGCACAAGCAACAGCGGGTGCTGAGGCTGGTGCAGCGAAGGCCTCTCACCCCAGGACACTGAGGGTGACCCCTGCGAGACCCAGGGCCACTCATGCCCAGCTCCAGTCCATGGGGGCACCCCTCGTATCTCAGAACCAGGTTGGGTCAGGACAGATGCACGGCAAGCTCTCTGGACATTTCCCACGGGCATTTTTTAGCTCTGTCGGCCATCTGACCATCCACACAACCATAGAACAGGGAGCTGGTCGGGGCCTGGAAGGCCTTCAAGACCAACCCCCAGCGCAATGGAGGGCTTCCAGGGCTCCCACCCCTGCCTTCCCACTGCATCACCCAAGTCAGGAGACCTCTCTCTCCCTCTCTCTCTCTCTGCACCTGGACTCAATGAAGGAAGGCAGGCTAAAGAAAACGATCAGGAGGAAAAAAGCAGAGAAGCTGACTTGGAATGAATTGGACCTGATTGAGACAAGATCATTTTTTCCATTTCCCAGATCCCCCCAAACCCCACCTCCCCCCTTTAAATAAACCTCCTGCTCATTTAGTCTGAGTGGCTTCAATCAGATTTAGATTAGTGCCAGAGATGATGTTAATAACATGCTAATGTTTCATTAGCTTAAAGCCACTTTGGTTGCCTGGGGTTTCTTTTGCCCTTTTATTTTGTGGCATGCCAACAACCTGCCAGTCAGCAGGATTGGTAAAAGAGTTGGGGGGGTGCATTGGAGCCCCCCTCACCCACCTGCTTGCATGCCTTAAATGTGTCAGCATCTTTTGCAAAGCTGCAAAGAAAGCAAACCACCCGTCTCCAGGAGGGGCAGGTGAGGATTTCATTGTTGCTCACGAAATGCACGAGCCCGCCCTGTTCAAAATGCCAAATGCATTTGCGAATGTGAGGGCGCGTCCCCCAAGAATGTTCGCACATGCCCAGACACATTCTTCCATGCACATGGCAAAACTTCCCTGATTTGCGCAAATTTCCCCCACGGATCAAGCCAGCCCCACTTTAATTTATGGAAAATGGCACACATGGAGAAATTTGCGCTGATTGGTGGATATCGGCAGAAATTCCATGTCGGATCAGAGTTCAGTTCGTGCAATTGTCTGATTTGCACACCATGAGCAGTGCTTCGAAGCAGGGGCGGAAATCAGGCGTAAGGAAATCTGTAAGATCTTAGCAAACTCACCCATTCCTGCTCTCTAGGGTTGGATAAGGACACTTCCCATGAAAGCGGCGTGGCAAGGAATCGGATCGCCTCACAGCTGGACCTAGTTTCTTGCTTTTATTCCATGAAATGGAACAAGACGGATGGAGGGACCACCTGGTGCTTTGCTGGATGGCTTCTGAGCTGGGCTGGAGGGCAGCTGTGCCCAGCCAACATGTTGCTTCGGCAGCCCATCGCTCTGAAAACGCTACTACATCTCCAGGACTTTGACTCCCAGTTGCTGAACAACAAGAGCTACAAAAAGACTTTCCTCCCACCCTAAATTTTACTGCTCAGAAAAGAAAGCTTTGGATGACCTCGAGTGAATTTGTGTGTGGATGGGCTGGGAGCTCCATCCAATCCTGGTACTCAGAATGAATTCCCAGGCTCAGATTTGCTATAGCTATGTCTTTGCATCAAGCTCCAGTTGAAGGTTCTCAGTGTTCCGGAAGGGAAGGGAAGGGAAGGGAAGGGAAGGGAGGAAACAAACCTGAAATGTACTTGACCATTCCAACATCCATCTGAGTAGGAAGCATCCAAAATTATCCTAAACTTTGAGAGAATTCTCTTAAATTCTTTTATAAAACATTCCATGAACTTCCAGAGAAGACACTTGGTAAAGAGAATCTAGCCCTAGTGTGTGAGTGAAGTAATCAGGGCTGAGCAAGGATGGACCTATCGTAAGTGTAAACGGTCGAGAAATAGCACCCAGTTGCATTTCTTCCTCAGTTTCCTGGAGACGCAGCTCCTTCCCCCTCAGCCCTCCCTCCCTCCCTCCGGTCCAATCGTTCTGCTTCTCTAGGCAACCACAGACTAGCATGCCCGCCGGCCCTCGGTACGCACCAGTTGCTCTTCCACGTGTGTCGAACGTGTGGGTCGTGGATGTTGTGCTTGTCTGCTTGCTCGTCCAGGAAGTCAAACATGTACTTGATGGCCAGGGGCAGGGCACTGCCACGGTGCGCCGTGCTGAAGATTGTCTCAAAGAGGTCATCGACGAATTTCTGTAAAGTGCCCTGCAGAAGGTGACGGAAAGGCACAGTGCAGGAGGCAGCCAGGAGCATCTTCAGAAGGGCCGGACAGAATTCGTATCTATTACATTTATTCCTGACTATCCTGATTCACCCCCTCCCCCTTTTATCCCCTCATCAACCCTGTGAGGTAGGTAGACTGCACAGCCAACTTGATTTGCGCAAATTGCCAGTGCCACAAATGCAGCTACAAAACTCAGATCTTGGTGCTTAATGGGCACAACTGTTCTCTGCACGTTTCCAAAACCTGGACAAAATCCAGGCACAGTTTGTTTCCAACAGCCAGACTAGAACTGCTGTGGAAATCCCCCAAGGTCAAATGAAGCGGATTTGCTTGAGGGAACCTTCCCATCCCCAGTAGGGCCCTTCGGCGAGCAGAACCCTTCCTCTCACAGAAAGTATCTTCCTGTTGCAGATGGCAGAACCGTGATCCAGCCCAAGGAATTTGCAGGTCTGTATTTTCTATCAAAGGGGGCATGAAGGAAAGGGAAGCCGAATGCTTCCCTGCCTTGCCTCTCTGCAGTCCATCAGGGACAGGCAGAGAAGACCTGAACAAGGTCTGAGGTGAGCAAGGCTTCCAGTCTCAGTTCTTCCTACCTGCAAGCCCACATTTTTATTAAAAAGCTCCCCCCACGGCCTTCTGCTTCATCTATGAAAAGGTAGACATAGAAACACAGAAACCTGGATGAGTCAGAAGGGATCTCCCGGGCCATCTAGTCTGACCCCTGGCTCCAGCCGGCTCTGCACATGACATGCTTTCCATGTGCATGTCCAGCCTGTCCTTGAACACCCTCACCAATGGGACTTTGGCCACCTCCTGTGGAAGCCCATTCCTTACCCTTGGGGTCCTAATCATCAGAAAATACTTCCTGGCTTCCAAACTGAACCTTGGTTCCCTGAGCTTTGCTCCATTGGAACGCCTCCTGCCTTCCTCTGCAGGGGAGAACAGGAATCTGCCCACCTCTGTGTGACACCCTCTCACGTATGAGACGTATCAATATGTCACCAACAGATCCCCTTGGAGTCTCCTCTTCTCCAGGCTGAAAAGACCCCATTTCCTCAGTCTCACCTGAACATCCATTATCCCAGTTCCCTCAGTCTCCCCTCAACATCCAAAGACCCCGTTCCCTCAGTCTCTCCAACATCTGTTATAGCTTCCCCATTTGATTTTGTTGGGTCTCGAAAAGTTGAAGGAAAAGTAGCACAACATACTGTTTATTTAGCGAATGCAACCACTCATTCCTCCAACAAAAGACCATCTTTAATATTGTCTTTTCCACACCCTGTTAATTAAAGTTTCATCCTGCTGTTCCTCCGAGGAGCTCGGAACTGGTATGGGAGATTATTCAGTTTCTCTTCCTGTGTACTCTGTGAGGAAGGGCTGGTGAATGAACTCAGCTGGGTTTGAACACAGATATCCTTGATCAAGGCCCACTGCTCTGTTCACACGGATCGGAAGCCAAAGAAGCCCACCTCACACCCTTGCACAAACACACGGCGTGCAAGAATTAAACGCTCCAGACAATGTATGTGTCAGGTTCAAATGCCACCTTCCTTCCGTGATTGCAAGTCAACTTATAAAAAGTAGTTGATCACTCTGCTGAGCAGACTGATTAAATCAGGCGATCCCAACTGTCACTGCTGCTTCTGGAAGGACTCCAGGAAGATGCTTGTGCAGCAAGAAAGCATTCAGAGGAGAAAGTGAAGAAGAGGCTTTGAAGACCAAATGCCTGAAGGAGCCAGGCATATTGGGCCTAAAAGAGTATGTGGAATAAGGGAAAAGATCCTGTTGTTTAAACAGTATTTTAAAACAGTGTTCGAAGAGAACAACAGCTGCTTTCCTTAGCGGTGATAAGATAAGAAGGCAAGTAGCAAATTGGTTTAGAGTGATATAAGATTTGTGTAAACCATGAGAATTGCCTTCTGCGTTTGCTAGACACCACCTGGAATCCGTTTGGAGAGTGGCAGTGTAGAAGTATTTAAAATAAATAAGCAAATTTGCATTTCCAAGTGTACAGAGCATTTCACGCGTCCCATCCTGCTGCATCCACTACAATAATCCTGTGAGGCAGAAAAGCAATACGATCTCTCCATCACGGAGGCTGAGATGGGGAGTTTTACCGAGGTCACCAGCAAGATCAACAGCGAAGCAAGACTCAGACTGGACACGTCCACGTCAAATGCTTCGCCTTTTAGATACCTCACCGCTCCGAGTCTGTTTGCAAAGGATGCCAGTGAGGAAGTCCATTAAGTCCCAAAGTCTGCAGCATTGATCTGTTGGTAGAAAGCAATGAGAGCCAAGATGCGAAGAGCATCTTTGGGCCCTCGTTGCGCAGTGGGGAGGCAGAGAAAGGCTCCAAGGCCAACAGGTGCAGCCACCTGTCTTCGGTTGGTGTTCTCCATGACCACCTTGACTGGGGTAGATCCATTTCCTTCCTAAAGACAGATCCATCTGCTAACCATTCCTGCTACCCTGCTCTCCTAGCCACTTCGAGCAGCGTCATCAAAATCAATTCTGCACAAAGATCCAAGGGCTGGTGCTGATGAACAAGGAGCTGGGGCCTCGCGGAAGACATCCTGTGTCAAACCACCATCCTGGGCTGAGAGTCAACTGCAGAGTTATAGAGCTGTCAAGTGAACCATCTCCCGTGAAGTGCTGCACACGGTGACAGATGGAGCCATCTCCGCCCAGTTCGTTCAACACCTCCATCCAGGCCAGCATCTCAGCCGAGGGGAGGTTTTCCCTGCCAGCCAGGCCAACTGAGAACTCTCTCTCTCTCAATCTCTCTCACTCACCTCTTCCACTAAATGCTCTAAACGTTAGAGGGAAAGGAGTAGCGATACTCTAGAAAACACCCTGCAGTTTGACTTGTTCATTGGGAAGCAGGAGAACCAGAACTGGGGCATCCTGAGAAGACAAGACTCCCTGGGGAAGACCACCATGCTGGGAAAAGTGGAAGGCAGAAGAAGAGGAAGAGCAAATATGGGATGGGTGGGCACCAGGAAGGAAGCCAACCATGAGTTCACAAGAGTTGAGCAGCGCTATGAAGGACAGGATGTCTTGGAGAGCTTTCATTCATAGGTTCGCCATCAGTCGGAGACAACTTGATGGATCACAAAAACACAACAGTAACAACCCCCAGTCTGCCCCTCTTGGAATCTAACATAAACCCAAACACAGTCTATGGTTGAATGAAAGATATACATTTGCAGGAGAAAGAACCTGTGTTTGGAAAATGTAAACACTTGAAGAATGCACATAAAAATACATCTTTTGGAAAAGTTAGTCTAAAGGTAAAGGTAAAGGTTTCCCCATGACATTAAAGCCCAGTCATGCCTGACTCTGGGGGGTGGTGCTCATCTCCGTTTCCTGGCCGAGGGAGCCGGCGTTTGACCGCAGACAGTCTCCGTGGTCATGTGGCCGGCATGACCGAACACCGAAGTGCACGGAGCGCTGTTACCTGCCCACCAAAGTGGCACCTTTTCATCTACTCGCATTTGCATGCTTTCCAACTGCAAGGCGGGCAGGAGCTGGGACGGAGCAACGGGAACTCACCCCATTGGGCAGATTCGAACCGGCGACCTTTCGATCAACCAGCCCAGCAGCACAGTGGTTTAACCCACTGCATCACGCACATTAATACATGGAAGAAATGCTTATTTGAAAAGCACACAATTGATGCATACATTTGGGGGAATGGGCACAAATGTTCCTGCAACAAGGGGGAAAATGCATGCAGTCTGATTGCAATGAATTGGAGCATGTTTTGAGCAGGAATTTGAAGCCCTTGATCATCTTAGCTTTGGCTGATTTGTACATTCTCCTCGTGTGGAGCTGCAGATATCCCTGACAGAAGGAAACAAGTCCAGGGTGTATAAAATAGTTATGGGACAGCAAAGGTACTATGTATTGGCTGTTGCTTCCAGCATTTTCCTCATTTGAAAATATGTCTTAGAAAAAGCGATAAGGGCAAAAAACAGCAGCGTCCTCCGGGGAGGTGGTGATGGAATTAGTTGGAGCTCCAGAGGCTGAGCCCCTCTCCACGCCTAGCAGCTGGTGTGCAAAGCAAAGTGCCAGTTGCTGGTGGAGGGAGCACTCCCAGCATATCGGGGACCATCCCCTCATTTCCTTTTAAGTAGGGTTGTCCGAGAAGTCTGGACCAGATTCAAATGAATTCAGGGTCTGAGGGGCAGATTCAGCCGCAAACCGGCTTCTCCCAAGCTGCGTGGATTCTGCAAATGTGTGGACCATTTCTTTTGAAACTCTCCCTAATGCTATTTAGATTAAGTCACAGAAAATAAGGGGAAAACAAACACCAGACAAAAACGAGCATTTCCCTGTGTAAGCTGACATGTATGTTTTGGGGGATTAGCACAGTTTGAGGGATAGCAGGTTTGCAAATGCATTTGTGAGACATTCCAATCTGTCCATGGGCAAATGAGCAGAATTTGTCAGTCCATGAAACACAGAGAGAGTCCATACATTCCTGCTGATAACATTTAAGAATAAATGGAAAGCACACACAATTTACATTTAACCCTCAGGATTGTAAATATTAATTATTACAGAGAAAGGGATGGTGTGGGGTGGCGGAAACTGGTATCCTGCAACAGCAGGGTGTTGGTCCCAGTGGCCTTCTTGCCCCAGCTGGACTATTTTATGATTCTATGAGGATGGGTCACCTTCTGTAGAGGAGGAAGGACTGCTGATGAAGGCGACCGCCTCAGCTCTCGTCCCCAGAACCCTCATTAGGCTGCGTTCATCCTCTCCTGCCCTGCATACCTTGGTGGCCAGCAGCCTGGTTAGATAGATCTCTGAGACCATCTTGCTCCCTCGGTCGCCCTCCTTCTGGTCACCGTGCTCGTGGTTCTTGACCAAGTGCCACATCTTGACCCCGCTTTCCAAGTCCGGCGTAATCATCGGCGTCCGAGAACGCAAACTGTCTGGGCTGCCCGTGTAGCGGATCATGTTTTCTGAAAGCACAACAAAGCAGAGCTGCAGGATGCAAGGACGAGGTGGACCGGTCTGGAAGCCCAATCCTGCTGCGCGGGGAACTGAGGCAGAGGCAGTGCGAGAGGCATCAGGTCAAAGCTTGGTGACTGAGAGAAAGCAGGCCAGAACAGAGATGCTTCAGAAATTCATTCAGTTCACCTTTTAAAGGAAGCCAACCTAATTTATAGGACATGGGTCATGGTGCAGAGCACTGAAATGCAAATCGAAGCAGATGCTTGAGCTTATAGATGGAATCAATAATATCCATCCATCCATCCATCCATCATAACATTTATAGGAAATACACATTTTGTGGGTGGAAGAAACCTTCAAAACCAATACAGTTTTTTGCAAAAAGAAGTCGGACAGACGTCCGCATGAACACATACAAAATCAACACAAGCCAGAAATAGACTGGTCTTCCCATTCTTTTTGGACAAAATGATGCTTCTTGGTCTGATGCAAGAAAGATGCTGTTATCTAGCAACAGGTATTAGGAATAACAAACATTCCCAGGAGCGTTTTAGCCGCAGAAGAGCCATGTCCCAGTGAGAACATGAACAATCACTGCATTCTTCATTCTCCTGAGCTTCCCTAATTGCCGTCCTGGACCTGCAGTGTGTTTTTGGGTGGATGCTCTTGCCGATTGGAGGGAGGGCAATGCTTTTGAAGACTGAATGTTATCACTTGCCACCTGATACAAGCAAAGGCCAGGGGGCACTGGGGCAGGCAAAGAGCCATCTCAGAAGCCATGACAATACATTGGAAAGTGTGTTACCTACAGCCAGAAGCATCTGGAGGTGAGGTAATTATAGGGATCGGGCCCACTTCTCCTCCAATGCAGCCTCCAAAGACTGCTTTCCCAGATTCTACTTTGGAAGAGGAGGAAGGATTGGAATCCACAGCTGAAATACCAAGATCAGACCTAGAGAGCAGCCAGGCAGCTTCCGAGAACTGGGCAGCCTCAAGTGCTGTGGGAAAGGCTAGCGAGCAAGGGGGGGGCGTGTCGGACCCGGCATCATGTGGCAGCATCAGAGCAAGAGGGTGGACCAGCTGACAAGCGCCGGGCATTCTCAGCGACTGGCCCATGAGCCGCACGACCCATCCTGAAGGCGGGCTCGGCTCTGTCCAGTTTGGAAGCGTGGAATCAACTTCCCATCTTTAAGGTGCTTTTCTCTGATGACCGGTATTCTCTTTTTGCCTGAACCTTTTCTTACTGACCTCTGCAATGCTTTTCGTTTACATTTCGAAAGCAGGCTAGCTAGTCAAGACTTCCGAGAGAAAGTCCTCGTACCGACCCGCTTGGAAGGATGGGGAGAAGGCCGGCCATGACAGGCATTGTTCTTCAACCACCGGTCCGTTGCCTTTTCCCCATCTTCCTGTGCCCTTTAAGTGATGCCCACCCCCTTCCTCTGGCAGTTACTCACAGGAAAGAAGCTGCAGCACAAAACACGTGAATCTATATGTGGAATCTTTCTTACTTTTTCCACAAATATCGCCACCTCTTCAAGCAGTGCCACTAGAATCCAATCCTATCCAGAAGGAAATCCCACCAAATTCAGTGAGACTGAGTGGAGGATTGTACCAGATGAGAGGAGCACAAGAGACCCCCATCCTGTGCTTCCCTTAAAATGTTAATGCAGGGGTGCCCTTGCAGGAGGAGGACTGGGGGCAAGAAAGGGGTGCTTCAACCCTTGCTTACCCAAACAATTCTCTCCCACAAATGTCCCCCATGCAAATGGATGCATTTGCTCTGCAAATGTCCCCTTCCAGGGAACTCCTTGCAAATACCTCTTTCCTTGGAGGTTTTTCTTCTCTGCAATTCCCCTCCTTCTGGAGGGTTTTCTCCCCTGCAAATGTTCCTCTCCTTGGTAGCTTTTAATAGGTTTTACCCCAACATAAAATGAAAACTAAATGCACTGAGGAATAAACACCCCCAGAGGAAAGGCATTTGCAGGTGAGAACTGACACGGGTAAGGCGGGCCAGGGGTGTTACGGTTAAGCATTTCCCCCCTGCTCATGTATCCTTCCTTCCACCTATTTCCTGTTTGGGCTGCTGCAGCAGAATCGTGATTTGGGTCACCGCCTTGTTTCTCTGACCTTGTTCCTAAGGAAACACCCAGAATTACATCCTGTTTACAAAATCAGGTATCAATGCTTCCAGCCTTTTCTAGGTGGTTCCATAGTTCTCATGAAGGCCCAGCCCCTGACATGGTTGGGCACAGTTGTCCCCTGGAAGCCGCAAAGGCTTGGCTTAGAGGTGTAGCCACCCTCTTGGAGGAGTGTGAAGGTCCAATTTCAGCCTGAGGGTCCTGTGGGAACGCCACAGGGACGCACAGAACATTTCGGGGAAGACAGCAGGCAGCTTTGCAGACTAAATCCGTGCCTGTAGGGCTGCAAGGAACCTCTGCAGGATTCATCCCTCCAGCAGTCGCAGACTTCCTCTTGTGCTCTTGCCCTGTCTTAGAAAGCAAACTGAACGGGGAGGAAGGCTGGGGACACACGTGGGGGGAAGGCCGCGCAGCTGGCCGCCTCCTTTTGCATCACACGCTGCACATGATCTGGAAGAGGGATGCCGCTTGTGCAGCACCCACGTGGGGTTTGATTCCTGGAAAGCACCACGTCCACACTGGGCAGGCTCACCAGGATCTCAGGCTCACGGAACCAAGAGAGTAGACCAGAGGCTGGGAAGCCAAGCTCAGGAAATCTGAGAGATTCCCACCTCCAGAATGGATTCTTCCCACATCCCTGTCACATAGCACGGTCTCTTCTGCACCGTGAGCATCGAAGTCCCTCAAGAGTCCCTTGCAGAAGCCCATCCTGGGCAAGACACGGCCGGGTCCTCATGCACCTCCTCGCTTCTGCTCCCCGCCACTGCTGTCCTCGACGGTCACGGCACAGAGGCCCCTTACCGTACTTGCTCGCAGAGGTCCTGGAGACGGTGGAATTGTTGACGGCATTGTAGGCCGTGACCTGCTTGGACACCAAGGCCACCACGGATAGATCTGGCACCTGGAGGCAGAAAGAGACGTTTGCCGGTGAGGAGGCTGCGCGTCCTGGCACCTCTGGCGAGGCCCGGGCAGCTGTATAAGCAACCCATGCATGGGATGATGCGCAGTGGGTTGGTGGTGGAGGTGGCAACCCTGGTTTCGGTCCCCTGCCCAGACAACATGTTCATCCCCCGGCTCTGGGAAAGAGGCTGTCCCTCAGCCTGGCCCAGCTCATTGGGTCACCCTGCAGATTAAAGGAGCCATGCTCACCTGAGCTTCTCCGGGGTGGACTGTGTGGGAAAATGTGTTCAGGAATTCACACTTGCCTCCACACTAAGGATACGGTGTGTCGGTTTTGCATAAGCCAGACCTCCAGGGCCTGTGACACAGGGGACGAGTGTGCCCTTCGTGGGGACCCCGGAGGAATGCTCATCTTTCCTCCAGCCCCACCCTTTTGGTGGCTTCCTGGCTTTTGTTGGGTTTGTTTCCCATTCTGAAAGGTCAATACGCATCTCCTGGGGCTTAATTATGGTCAGACGTGGCTTTAAGCTAAACTATGCAGATATATTCGTACCTGGAAATAGCTCCTCTTTCCCCTTGGGCTTACCCACCGCTGGAGTGTGGTCTCCTGAGAACCTCAGGTTGAAACATCATTCATCTTCAGGTTGAATGATGCCCAACACTCCTTGTGGCCCTCCAGATGTTACTGGACTCACATTCCCATCTGCCTCATCCAGCATGGCCAGTGCTTGGGAATGATGGGCATTGGGATCTGGAGGAACACAGTTTCCACAGCCTAAGATCGTTTGTACAGAAGTTGGATGGATCAAAAAGAACTCCAAAGATCTGAGGTGAGGCAGAGGAGATAGCAGAGAGAGAGCCATCTTTGGGCCAAGGTAATGGGCTGGATGAGGGCCAATAAACTGAAGCTCAATCCAGACAAGACGGAGGTCCTGTTGGTTGGCGGATCGGGCTTCAGAGAGGGTGGATTTGACCTGGCCCTGAACGGGGTTGCACTCCCTCCTAGGGACAAGGTCCGCAGCTTGGGAGTGCTCCTCGACCCAGAGCTTTCACTGGAAGCTCAGGTAACAGCAGTGGCGAGGAGTGCTTTCCTCCAGCTTCGGCTAATTCATCAGCTGCGCCCCTATCTGGAGAATGACTGCCTTGCGACAGTGACACATGCGTTGGTGACTTCCCGCCTTGACTTCTGTAACACGCTCTACGTGGGGCTACCCTTGAAGACGGTCCGGATACTTCAATTGGTTCAAAATAGAGCTGCCAGGCTGCTGACGGGGAGTGGACATTATGTTCACATGACTCCAGTTCTCCGTCAGCTTCACTGGCTCCCCATTGAAGTCCGGGCCCAATTCAAGGTGTTGGTGATGACCTATAAAGCCCTAAACGGCTTGGGTCCTGGTTACCTGAAGGAGTGCTTACATCCATATATGCCCAGCTGCCCCCTGAGATCAGCGGGAGAGGCCCTTCTCCAGGAGCCCTCCGTGAAAGAAATTAGGAGGGTGGTTTTCTTACCAGTGGCGCCTAAGTTATGGAATGCGCTCCCCAGGGAGGTCCGCCTGGCGCCGTCGTTATTTGTTTTTCGGTGCCAGGTGAAGACCTTTTTATTTAAGCAGCATTTTAAATGTTAAAACTATGGAATTTTTTCTGGCCAAGGCGGCTTATTTTATATTGTGTGTGTGTGTGTGTGTATAAAATTATTATTATTATTCTAATGTATATATTTTAATTTTTATTTATGTGGTTCTAATGTATTGTTGTAAGCTGCCCCGAGGCTTCGGCGAATGGGGCGGCATAAAAATGTTTTAATAAATAAAATAATAAAATCTTTGTCATGATACTCTGCTGATGGAATGTTTCCCCTAGAAAAGTGGAACGTTTTCCCCAGAAAAGCTAACCAACTTTCCATTCTGTGTAAAGGAAGCCATTTTCATCCCTGAGCTTCCTGGGTCTTCACTGCTTTATTATCCGGTTTGTTATCCACCCTGGGAAGTAACAGAACAGAACCAAAGTGGTCCAGTTCTGCTCAGGCTTCATCCCAATCTGTTGTGTGTCTCCAGAAAACACACAAAGGAAGTCCTGAATACTTCAGGGCGTTTCCCTAGCATTCTCCATGGCATGGAAACTTTGAGCTGGGATAGCAGCGAATGGTTGCTTGCTCGGGATGAACACCTAAAGCTGATCCTGGGATAATTCTTCCCAGCATGTCTGGAGTTCCCTGGTCCCATGGGCTGCATGATTCCCCACTCCAAACAGAACCCCAGAAGAGCAGAAAAACACCCCCCACCACCCAACAGGAGCCTTCAATCTCATGCTTGAGGCCCTCCCCAATTAAAAGTCTCCTTTTGAAAAGGCAAGTAAACAATGCTGGAAATTGAACCAGGACCAGAGATGCCATGCCGGGAAACTCTTTGAAGAATCCGGATTCTGAAGGGAGGAAAGGGAGAAGGGAGACGACCACGGGAAGATCCGCCAGCTCTTCTATCACCATGAGCAATAATTAGCACTTAGCACACACTGCCTTCATCTTCATAGCATCTCAGAGATGCTAATTAAGCAGCTCTCCTTGGAGCCAGGAAAGGTGGCTTTTAACATCTGTGAGTTAGACTTTGCATCTTCATACGGATGTGGAAGGGTCAGCCATGTCCCACTGAGCTTCTGGCTGGTCCCCCAGATCTTCTGCTTTTGTGGACATCTGGCATTGTCATCTCAGTGACATGGGAAGGGATGAGAGAGCTGGCGATGCTGGAGTTCACAGGGATTCTTGAAAGTTTACTTCAAACTTTTCCTCAGCTTGTTCTCGTTCTCCTTCGCAAGCTATCTTCCGTTTGTGTGAATGGGGAAAGTTGTGTATTTGCCCAAAATGGTGCCTTCTGAGAACGTTGCGCACTTTCCAGCCCTCCTTTGGTGAATGCAAGTTTGGGAGTTGCGCACGCATTCTCAGAGAGCGTGCGTTCCTGTTTGTAGTCAGGATTGCGAACAGGGCATTTGCAACCGATTTGAGAGCGGACGTGAAATTCTCAGGCATCCCTAGTCTTAGATGCAGCACAGGCAGTGCTGAGCTTGCCTTATCCAGGTCTGCCTGCCTCCTCTGGCTTGAACCCCTGAACATCTCAGCCACGATGGAAGAATCACGGCATCATAGAAGGGTAGAGCTGGAGGGGGCCTATAAGGTCATCGAGTCCAAGTTCTGCTCACTGCAGGACCGCAAGGTAAAGCATCCCTCCCAGATGGCTGCCGGGTGCCTCCGGAACGCCCCACCGCCTCCCTGGGCCTCTGCTTCCATTGCTGAACGTCAACCCGGAAAGGATCCGGCAACCTTCCTCTCCAGTCTCCCGCTCTATGAAGTTATGCGGCAGGAAAGGAGGCACAGGATTCCCAAAGCAACTAAAACCACAACCCTTTGAAGCCAGACTCTCATGTCTGGGTTAAAGACCGGGCTAAAAACTATGGCAGTCGCATTTTTAAACTAGTCATTTTTATTTGAAGGAAAGGCAGCTGTGGACCTGTGATCCAAACACATTCCTCCTGACCCAAAGCACAACCCCAGCCTGGATTCTTGCCAAAATTGCCTCCTTGCCTGGCATTTGCCCCCGAAGGGGCTGTTTAGCTATAAACAACTCCCTTGAGGGGAAAGAGAAGCCATGCAGGGTGGTCTTGTAGGAATCAGCAAAGAGACGCATCTGGACTGGGACCCCACTGGGAGCGTGCAAATTGGTCGTTGGAGCATGCAGACTCAGGGGGTTGTGAATGTGCAGACAAGCCTGCATGGACAACCCTGACGGGTGCCCTGTCTCTCCGGGAACAGCAGGCCTAGTGTTCCACATGCTGCTTGCAATGGCGCATGGTTCAAAAGCACAGTGCAGCTCAGCTGCCCCACCGACCAGGGGTGTAGCAGAGGTGGAACTCACAAGAAGACAGCAGGAGCACGTTTTTATAAACGCCCCCTCAAATTCCTCCTCCTCTCAGGATCCCTCATTCCATGACATGCATATGGTAGGCATGTCCTGAGTGGAGCCAGCTGGAGCCAGGGGTCAGACTAGAAGGCCCAGGAGACCCCTTATTTTATTTATTATTATTATTAAAACATTTTTATGCCTTCTGTTTGCTTCCTCTCTTTTATTCTCTTCTTCATGCACACGTTCACTCAAAGGCAACCTGTGGTCGCGTCCCACGGTGCCATTTCTGCAGCATTCGCCTTTCCCCCGTTTTGACAGCTTGCATTTCCTGCCCCGTTCTGTGCAATGCCCCCCCCCCAACAACCCTTTTCCTGCTGGGCAGCATCCAGAGGGCTGCAACAGGATTCAGAGTCCAAGATTCATCCTGGGAAACTCACTCCAATGTAGGAGCTGGGACTCTGAGACGCAAGGGTCCTCCTCCATCTTGCAGTCAATGTGGAAAAAGCGACACTGGCTGCCTCTCCAAGGGTGCAAACGAAGACGAACAGGGCAGGCTGGCTCTCCTGGGCTTACTGGGCATCCTTTCTCCCTTGCCAGGAAATGATCCCAGCGGAAATGAATGCTTGGAAACCCCACGGGATTCTTTGTGCAAGATGCACAAAGCACAGAATTCTTTAGTCAAGAGATGCAAGGTACATAATTCCTTGCTCAAACTATGCAGCTTACATAACTGCTTGTGCAAACTGTGGAAAGCTCACACGTCCTGCAGGAAAGCTGCACTCCACTTGAACACATTTCCTGCCAGATGCTCACGCAAATGCTCAGCATAAAGTGGACTTGGGGAAGAGAGGAAGCCGGTTGAAGTCCGGGGAGCTGAGCTGAGGAAAGCTGATAGAGCGTCACTCCAAGCCAGATCCCTTGGCATCCCTAGTCACACACGCTTCCATCCTCCTCTTTCCCGGTTGCTGGACCGATTGCAAGGAGAGGCCCCGCAAACATTTTGCAAATTGCGTGACATGTGCTTGAGCTCAGTTTGCAGAACGCTGCAGACGGAACACCCTGCTTTCTCCTATAGAAGGGCATTGTGCAAATTCAGGTAAATTCACACAGAATCTGTGCACAATTGCTACAGAAGTTGTACTGTTATCCCATTTGTGTGGTGCAAGCAGCAATTTCGGGGTTCAGGGATGAGAATGAGTGTTTCATTTCCTATCCTAAATTCTGCAATGGATCCCCCGGACATGGGCTCACCATTGCCTCCCCCCAACCCAAGTTTGTGTTTTTTGTTCGTTGCTGCCGCTCTTGCGCTGGCAGCTCCCCACCTCCCATTTGAGACTCTCAAACCTATTTTGAACCCAGTGGAGAATATTCAGATAAAGGTTCTCAAAGCAGCCTTCTTCTAGGTGGAGAAATGAGGAAAAGAAGGATCAGAGATATTTCCTCTGGAAAAAATGTTTGCTCAGAAATTTGCTCCAGCTCCGGCCATGATGCTGTGTCCCCCACAGTCGCACCAACCCCACCTCCACCTTGAGCTGCTCCTTTTCGGGATTCCCTGGGGAATTGTGGCATTTCCCTTTGGGACAGAGGCTGTATCTATCATCTCCTTTGCGGTCAGAATGGAATTAACTCCCGTCTTGCTTGTTATCTCATCTCATCCCAATCTATTGCTAATCTGTGGCCTGACATTTCATCCAGTGCTGTCACAGGGGAGATGAGAAGGGCATTAGGGAGAAAACTGGACGAAAGGAAGAAGATGGACACCTGAGGTTTTGCTTTGTTTTGTTTTTTTCTCATATGCTATATATTTCCAAGCAAGCATCCAGGGGATGGCGAAGGCAGACAAGAAAAGACACACAGAGACTTGGCAACTGACAATAGAAGGCTGCTATTGCTCAGGTTCACCTCCAGTGTAACACAGAAAGGCGGGGTCCCCGCATCTAGAAAACTAGCACACAAGGGTGCGAGCTAACAGGGCAATTCTGTCAAGTCTCTGGGATTCAGTGGGACTGAACACCTAGGGGCTAAGCTCACTTTTCTCCACACGGGCTCATTTTCTATATGCAAGGAAGTATTTTCATGTGAGAACAGTTTAAAAAGGTGAGTCCTCCACCTGCATTTTCCAGGGTGGTTGTCCAGTTTTCTGCCACCTCATTCTGGGGAACTGGGATATGTAACACAATTTTGCCAGGCTAAAGCTGCACCTGACACTCTGCATGTCTGAATACTCCTCGGTGAGTAGGGGACGGGGTGGGGGATAGAGAAAACTCCTTGCAGCTAGAAACCCTATGTTACAGGGAGTAGCATACCAAATTTTTCTTAGTCTAATTTGCTGGCTGTGAGAAATTGGGCCTTTTCACAGGGGCCTCATGGCTGCAAAATTTTATCCCAAGATGGGTATGTGCAAACATTCTTCACAGGTTTCTGGTGGACATTAAAAGGTTATTTTAGGATATTTCTCTTGATTAGTACCATGATCATCTTGATTTTACTGGATTAAATGGCATTTTTATGGCCTTCTGACTTGGCTGTTTTGGACTGACTGGCATTAATATTAATATTATTAATCGTATTGCTCCCATACCAAAGCCTTTTTGGGATCATGTACTCCCTTTATTTATTCATTTATTTCATAACATCATTTTGCTGGGCAATTGATGGGAGACATCTTGGTAGGGCTTTTGCCTACACATTATTCCTAATAATTTTGGGCAGGGAGATCCCAAGTTTGGACCGACAAGCTTAAAATTAATTGCCTGGGCTGCTTAGGAAGCCAAGCTGGCCCCCGACCAGCTCGGATCGGGCAAACAACCGTAGTGCCATTCCGGAGCGGCACTTCATCTGGATGGACACCCCCAGCTGGCGAGCAGCACCGAGAAAGCGGAGGGCTTACCTGATAGTGGGCGAGCGTGTTGAGCCTCTTCCAGTCGTTCTCGATCTTGGTCGTGAGATCCTCGTCCTGCAGGATCATCCGGGCCCCGCTCGTTTGCCGCCACTCTGCCGGGAGAAGGAACTCAGGTCACTTTCTCTGCCAGAAGCCCGTGAGTCAGAAGGGGTCTCCTGGGCCATCTAGTCTGACCCCCGGCTCCAGCCGGCTCCACTGGCGACATGCCCACCATGTGCGTGCCCACCCTCTCCTTGATAGCTCCAACGTGAGCAGATCCAGGTGGAAGAAATTGGAAATCTATTTGCGAGTCCATGACACACACAGTCGGAGCTTTTAATAGAGTTTGTGAAGGACACGTCTGTCCTTGATCATCCCAGAGTGTAGAATGTATACTTCACCCTCCCAGAGCTCTCTGCAGTGGCCATTCCTGAATGGAGGAATTTGCAAGGCAGAGAGCAATGTGGAATTGCTGCAGTCCAGGGAGGTGGTGTGCAGTAGTGGTTAGAGTCTTGGACTGCCACCTTGGAGGTCTGGGCTCTGGTCGCCACTCAGCATTGAGGTCCACCAGGTGACCTTGGGACAGTCACCGATTCTCAGCCTAATCTACCTCACAGGGTTGTTGTGAGGATTACGCGTAGAGGAGGAGACTCTGTAAACTGCCTTGGGCACCTTACAGGGGGGAAAAAGATGGGATATCAAAATATTAAATAATAAATAAAATCAAGGGTACCCTGTGCTTTCTACGAGGACAACGCTGTTTTTTATTTTTATTTTTTTTAAACATTACACTATACGTGTTAAGAGTGCAAAATGTTACAGTGAAGAAATGTGTTTATTACGAAGGTACCACAAGACTCCTCACTGGTTTTCTTGCAGCAGTCCAAGGCTAAGCACATGTAGACAAAAACAAGCAACTCCCCTGCATTTTTCAGGGTCGTTATTTCTTTTTGTCTAGGCTTGTATGGGATTGCACCATTAATTAACTCACCACCGCAGTCGTGTTGGTGTTCTCACCCAACATTTTGTGAACACCAACTGTTAGGATACTCATTATTCTCTACACTCATTTTTTTCTCGTTTCAATTTTCTCTGGCAACACAGTTTATATCCCTGCCCCGCCTCCCGGGACGTGTCTATAAATCTGCCAACTGGAGGTTAATACAACGTGCAGTACTGATAACCTAGCCAATGATATATCTAAGTGTCCATGAAAACTTACAGGATAAATGGACTCATCTCTCAGGTGCCACAAGAGTCTTGTTGGTGTCGCAGCAGCAGGCTAAGGTAGCTGCTCCTCTGTCATTTCTTAAATCTATGGAAGTGAAAGGGCACTGGCCAGTCTTTGGCCAGAACTCTATAAATATACAAATGGGCGAGAGGTGTCAGGAAGTTCAGGTGTCTCTTGGGGGTCAGCTCTTGGGTGGAGATCAAGAACTCGACCCATGAACCAGCACTGAGAGCTCTGCCCCGGGGAAATACTCACACTTCAAGAGGCTGCTGTGCACGTGGATTCTGGACAAGGGATGGGCCGGGGAGCCACACTCAACCTTGTCTAGATTCTCTAAGCAATGGCTCATTGCTCCTCTCATGCTGCTTTGCTCAAGCAGAAGAAGGGGGCAAAATGAAAAGCTACCCAATGCACAATTCCCAATTCAAGCAAATCGTCTGAACTGGACCAATTTCCCCCCAACAGACTGCGGATTTAAAATCTAGACTTTCTGAGTAAGTTCTGGTGTTTGAGAATGATAGGTCTTTGGGGAAAGTCATGTGCTTTGAGATGCGGGGAGACTTGGAAGATTCAGGGAGCCACAAACCACACTTCAGGTGGTTGAAGCCCCATTGGTTAGGGTGTTCAGGTTGGACATGCACATGGTAGGCATGTCATGAGCAGAGCCAGCTGGAGACGGGGGTCAGACTGGATGACCCAGGAGGCCCCTTCTGACTAAGTTTCTAAACTCCTGGGACTAGCGATGGCCACTCTAGAATGTAGCCAGCATTCTCCCTCAAGACTGAACCTTGCAAGAAAGGCTTAGTTCTGGCCGGCGAGCTCTCTCTCCGAGATATCTGTCTGTCATCATTTAACTTTTCAGTGAGAACCCCAAATAAGCTGAAAGGAACCATCAAAATCAGTAGAAAATAGAGGTTAACCCAACCTTCTCCAGAAAAAGTAAGCCAATGCACAGACTCTTCTAACTCATTTCCACAAGGTTTTGGAGTAAATGAGTTTTCCTTTTCCTGCCCACAACCCTAAATTCCAGAGATCAGGGAACTGTGGGAGATTTGGTTCTGGCTGCCAATTTTTTTAAAAAGGGGGAAATGCCAGGGAAGCTGCCTTCGCTGCACATGGTGAGCTTGAGAAACTGTTGGACAATGTTCCCTCCCTTGGAGCAATTGGGTGAAATGTTCCGTCAATTTCTCTGCTCACAAACAGGATAGAGAAATCCACGAGTCCTTCACACACAGCACTAGCAGGGGCAGAGTTTTAAAGCTACCAGGCTAGGGAAGTCTCATGCCACCTCTAACTTTCTGATTCTGAAAACCATCAGGAACTCCAACTTTTCCATTCAATATTTATTTATTAGATTTATATTCTGCCCCTTTTCTTTTTTAAAGAATTAAAAGCGGCATACATCATTCTCCATCTGGTGCTCTCCATCTTATCCTCACAACAGCCCTGTGAGGTAGGCTGGGCTGAGAGTCCATGCCTGGCCCAAATGCCATCCAGTTGGCACCACGGCTGAGCAGGGACTAGAACCCGGATCGCCTGAGCCCCGCGCTCTTAACCACTACACCACACTGCCTATCACACCTTCTCACCCCTTGCAAGGATGCGGTTGCTGCTTTCACCGCTTTGTAGTCACTTTGCTCAATCTCCAGAGGTGACTGCAGAAATAGTAGGAACTGGCTAGGACTCAAATCTAACTTCCTCTGGGATTTTTTTTAATGCTGCTCCAGCTATGAGAATGTGCCCTGAGGAGCCCTCCTGAGGTGCTTGGAAAGAATGGCGAGAAAAACATTATGGCATTTGTCGCAGGTGAGAACCCCACACCCCACCGCTAACCTGCATTTAGCAAATCGAAAATGGCTCATTATTACCTCTTGCTCCGCTCCCCACCCCCATGAGAGCAATGGGGTCTCTCCGTAGGCAGAGCGTACAGAAAAGGTTTCTGCCGGGAGAGGATCATTTAGCTTGCCCTCCCACCTGGATGGAGCTATTCAGCTGCTGCCAGGAACCGCTCTGAGTTACCTGAGGTCCAGAAAAGCTCCTGCAGCCCTGCTCTTTAGATTGAGACCAGCGACCTCCCCGCAACTCAACTGGACACACACGTCCCGCACAGAAAATCAACTAGCCCCCAAGCTCACAGGCTAGTTCACTTCTCTCTGTTCGGGATTCGGCAACCGGGAATCCTTGGGCTTGCCAAAGCTCTCCAAATGCTGCTTGGAAGCTGGGTGCAGTTCATTCCCATTTTCATCTGCAATCAGACCTCTGTGTGTGAGGAATTTGAAGCAGGAGGTACGCATTCCTACACTCGGTTTTCAAAACTATGCACTTCCTCATTGACTAAAATGTGAAAATATGTTTTTTCGTGTGTGAAAAATCGACATTACAATGTGCAATGTGATGTGATTGTAAGTTTGGAGAGGTGCAAATGGTTTCCAAAACCACGTGATTTATCTTATGCTTGGGACTGTGAAACAAAGAAACATAGAGTCAGAAGGGACCTCCTGGGCCATCTAGTCTGACCCCTGGCTCCAGCCAGCTCCACTCATGACGTGTCTACCATGTGCATAACCAGCCTGTCCTTGAACACCCTCACCGATGGGGTCTCTACCACCTCCCATGGAAGCCCATTCCATACCTGAAGGTCCTAACCATCAGGAAGTACTTCCCAGCACCCCGCTCCCCTAAATCTCGGTTCCCTGAGCTTGGCTCTATTCAAACACTTCCTGCCCTCTTCTGCAGGGGAAAAAGGCCATGACCCACCTCTGTGTGACACCCCCTCACATACCTGTATGTTGTCAACAGATCTGCTCTGAGCGTTCCCCTCTCCAGGCTGAAAAGACCCTGCTCCCTCAGCCCCTCCTCATATGGCTTCCCCTCCAAACCAGCCACCGTGTGTTATGACCTGCACTGCAGCTCCCAAACAACCCTGCCCTGCATTAGCCCTTCCTCAAAGCGGCACCACTGTTTGTGAACCAACTTGGAAATGTATCCGGGGGCACCCTTGAAAAGAGGCTGATCAGAGGCTCCCAGCCCGATGTGAACACCACACACACTGCAAGCACAAGGCAGAGACGGTGACTGACCCCAGATCGGGTTCTAGACTGCCTCTGCTGAACCCCAGGAAAATCCAGATGGTTTTACTAGTCATGAAGCTCGTCTTGGGACAAGAGGTCCTGGGCCCTTCTAAACTGTGAAGTGGGCCACATGTTTCAACAGGGGCTCAGGTTCCCTTTTCCTTTTGGAGCCAAAGGTGGTGAGGTTTTGGGATAACCCAGGTCTAGCAGAGGTTGCATGGGAGGCTGCACAAAAGCCATCACACCCTAAACCAGGATGTCCAGTGACAATCCTGCCCTCCCCGCTCCCCCAAGAAAAAACCCTGGGTCCTGGCTGGCCTCTTGCTCAACTTTGCCCGTTCTCCACCCCCTTTGCCAGACTCTCATCAGGCTTGGAAGCAACCGGGGCAGCTTGGGACCGCTTCATATAACTGAGACTCTTGTGCTTTGCTTGGCAGGTATCCCTATGACTCAGCTCCCCTTTGTGGGCTGTAATCCAACAGTATCTGGTGTGCTACCAAGGTATACACCCGTACGTACACACACACGCGCCTGTTGCTGCTTTGAGCGACTGCCTTCCATTCCTGCTTTCCAGGCTGCCCTTCCTGGGATTGGCACTTCCTCCACACTCAAGATCCTGGCCAAATTTTCGCAAACAGCAAGAGATTCTATTCTGAAATTGCTCTATGATTCTCTTCTTTGCAACTGCATGATTCTGGGCAACATCAAGAGAATGTTTTATTCCTGGTAGGGTGAAGTGGAATATTATTATTATTATTATTATTATTATTATTATTATTATTATTATTATTATTATTATAACATTTCTATGCCGCCCCTTGCCGAAGCCCTTAGGCACGCTCTACAACTCCAGATAGATGAATCGGGGAATCTCGGTTTTACTCAGGTCTGATCCTTTGCTCTCTCTTACTTTTGGATTCATTCTGTCATATTTCCACATGGAATTATAGTCTCTGCATTGCGCAAACCATGCAAAACTCTGCATGTATTTCATGCACTCTTTTTAAAATCCTTCATTTAAAGGGCCCACATTCAGCGGTGCTTTTGCAAACTTGCATCGTCAAGCAGCATTTCAAGGAATAAAGCAGGCTTCCTGCTCATATATTTTCTCACAAATATATGAACTTTTCCTGCATCATTTTGAATGCATGTACTTTTTGCTTTGCTCTTTGGAAACATTTTCTTGTTCTTTGATCACAATTCACGTGCTTTTTCTGTGCATTTATGCCATGAGAGCCAGTGTGGCATAGTGGTTAAGAGCCTGGGACTGGGACTCAGACGATCTGGGTTCGAGTCCCCACTCAGCCATGGAGCCCACTGGGTGACTCTGGGCCAGTCACAGACTTGCAGCCCAGCCTACCTCTCAGGGTTGTATTTGTGGGGATAAGATGGAGGAGGAGAATGATGTCAGCTGCCTTGAGCCCTTTGTAGGAAAAAGGCAGGATATAAATCGAAAAATAAATAAATAAATAAATAAATAAATAAATAAATAAATGTTGCCTCCACACAGCACCATATTTTTCCGAAAGCTATGGAAATTGATGGCAAACTGAGTTCCAGCTTGCATTTAGATTCAGAAGAGTGGTTTTGCTCAGCTAACATCAAAATGTAAACCAAAGTTCTCTCTCACCATTCCCTTGCTCTTTTTACTCTCCTTACAAAAGAAACCCCGGGAAACACCAGAGTTTGGTGGCTTCATTGACTGAAAGAAAGGGGCACCCTTAGAAAGCTTTGATTTTGGGGAAGGGATCAATGCAAGCCTGAGATATTAGTCTGGGAGGTTTTGCTGCTCAAGTCGTTGCGTGTGAGATACGTGCCCTGAGACGTACGTGCCACGCATGAGTTCTGCCCCCAGGCCTTCTGCAGCGCGGCAGAAGATGGAGTCCTGCACACATGTTGCCACTCAGCTCCTGACACATCCTCACTCCAGAACCTGGAGGTGACATTTATGGTGGTATATTGATGGCTGACCCCCGTGCATCACGGAGCAAACACAGGCCCAGCTTCCCACATCGATACCGTATGGCCCAGATCGTTGCGCCGGACAAATGCTTTGCTGCACTGCTCCGGAGGGATGCTTAACGCACCTAAATCCATGTCAGCAGCTTTGGGCCGATGAGAGCAAGGCACGTTCTTGAAGATCGCGTCAAGGATCTTCTCCTTGACCTGTGTGATGGTGTCGCAGTTGAGGATCTTCACAGGGATCTCGGGGCTGTTCACGTTGTCGGGGTTCACGCAGCTCAGGACCTGCAGAAGGCCAGGTGGTGGGGAGGAGGTAAACACAGACAAGATGTGTGGCCGCAGGGCCTTCTCAGCAGCAGCCCCAATCGGGGAGCGAGTTCCCCACTGAGGCCCACCTAGCACCAACTCCGCTGCCCTTCCAGTGCCAGGTTGAGGCCGCCCTCTGTGCCGAGGCGCCGAGCTGCTGCCAACTGCACATGGGCTGCTTTGCATCGCCTCCTCTTACGTTCTACAGGCATGAAGCTCTTCCTCATAGATGTGCTTCGAGTTTCGTTTTAAAGTTAATTTGTGATTGTATTGATATTGCTTTTTGCTAGATTTTATGAATTGTTTTAAACTACCCCAAACAACAACTACAACATAAATGTAAGGGCATTAGCAATATCTGTGGTGAACAGAGCTTTTCCCCAAGCCCGGGGAAGTGTCAGTTCTATAGATGCTGGAACGAAATCATGCTCACCAAGCCTGTGCTCACCTGAAGGTCTTTGGTGATTGTCGCTAAGCAACTGAGTCCGATGCAGCAGTGTCTCTGGACCACTTGCCGAGCCCTCGTGACACTGCCCCCCCCCGAGGAATGGAGATGCTGCTGCTTCCTCTTGCGAGGGACACTGCCTTTGCCCTCTGCACCAGCCGCCAACCCTTGGATTGGGACCCATCACTACACAGGTGGGGAACTGCTTTTGGCTTAGACACCAGTGCTGTGAGCTCGCCTCATCCCTCCTCGCCCTCCAGCTCCAGAACACCGGAAAATCCTTTCCAGGGCAGGCCTTTATTGGCATTTCTCAGCCAACAAGACAAGGTCACTCTAAATAGCCTCCCAGTAAGCTGAACAATAAGCCTCTGCTCATGTACAGAGAGCTGAACCCAAACCTGCACATCTCTCCAGTCCCTCTGCTTTAGTCACACTGTGAACCCACCCTTGGGGGGCTCTCACTGGCACAGAGCCAGCCTGCGAGACTTAGGCAGGGCATCGACCTGGGCACTCCTCCTTCCCGATGCCTCACCATGGGATCCAGGGCTGGGTCAAGATTTACAAGATCCTATTTCATGGATAGGATCATCTGAAGGACTTTCATTTATAGGGTCGCTGTAGATGAGAGATGACTTGATGGCATGTAACTACACCCTGTCTAGCCCTCCAAGCCGTTAGGCCCTAGAAAAGCATGAGAGACGAGGCAGAGGCAGAGGCAGAGAGAGGCAGAGGCAGAGGCAGAGGCAGAGGCAGAGGCAGAGAGAGGCAGAGGCAGAGGCAGAGGCAGAGGCAGAGGCAGAGGCAGAGAGAGGCAGAGAGAGGCAGAGGCAGAGGCAGAGGCAGGCAGAGGCAGAGGCAGGCGGAGGCAGAGAGAGGCGGAGGCGGAGGCGGAGGCGGAGGCAGGCAGAGGCAGAGGCAGAGGATGACAGAGGCAGAGACAGAGAGGAGAAGGCACCCCAGCAGCCAATGGTGCTCACACCCTGCTCTTTCTGGGGAGGACCTCTGCACAGCAAACCAGGAATGTCCACTCAGGCAGGCCAGGATGGGACCTGCTCAGAGGGTCCGAATTCTTAAATTGGCCCGGAACCGCACCAGCTTGCATTCTGTTGTCATGATGATGGGGAGAAGGGCTCCAAGGGCAGGTCCGCTTGGACCGCTTCCTCTCGCAGCAGCACCATTGTCCCCCCGGCTCAAGGGCGCACCCCGGAGGAGCACAACTGCCTTGCTCCTTGGTGGTTTCACGCTCTAGCTCTCATGCAACGTGCCTGCATTGACTTATCCCCATGCACTGTCCTCTCGCCATCCCATCCCGGTGCCTCATGCCCACTTCCTGCTGGCCTCAAATCACACGGCTCAAAGGGTAAATTTCTGCACATTAAGCAGCGGTTGGACAAGCACTTTGCACAAATGCCCCCATTCCTGAAACTCCCCTGAAATCTGAACAAATGACTTGCCTGGAAATGAAGTTCATCCAGTCTACTGAGGAAATGTGTGCAAACTGGGACATTTGCACAGATAAAACTGGGAGCTGCTCACACGTGGCATTTAGAACGCTTGCATATCCCTACTGTTTTGCCTCCACTGCCAGTTGCTCAGGTCTGAGTCCAGTTGTGCTCCGGATGTTTCCTCCATCCTTCCTCAAGTCCTGTCCCACCAGGCTCAGCCCATTGATGCTGCCCAGGGTGCCCCTGAGCCCCGTATTTCTAAAACTTTGGCAAGGGCATTTCCACGTCTCAGGAGAGGGATTCCGAAAACATTTTCAAACCCTGGAAGGCAGGCCAGGCCTGTAGCCCAAGTCTCTCACACTCAATCTAATTATGGGGGAATAGAGTGCTATTTTTCAAAATTCCCTCTCACTCGGACATCTGGCAGGTTAAAGGTTTCCTTAATGAGGAAGCCCCCTGGCTTTGTACCAAAATTCCTGCCCCCACCCCCGAGAAACCCACCCCTGTCAAAAGCTAAATGTGAAGCATATGAAGGGGATCGCTAGCACTCATGGACTCTAATGGAAACTTGGCTCCTACTTCACATGTATTTATTAGCAGCTCAGAGTTTCATTTAATTGTTTAAAAAATACAGCCCTGAGTGGTGAAAAATGACTCCCAAAAAGAAAAGGTGCACCCCTTTTAAATTTAACACATCTTAGAAGCGGAGGTGAAACGAAGGTCTACACACCTTGTGGCTCTTCTCTCTTTCTCCAAAGTTCCTCTTATTTCCCCCTTTTTAAAGTACCAAAGTTGAAACGTTAGCTGTAGTTTCAAATAAATTTAATTTCAGATGAAACTCCCTTGGTGACATTGTCTCAGCAGAAGTTCGCTTGTTGAATGAATCACACACCAACAAAATCAAATAATTCATCCCCAAAGGATTTTTCTCTTTGATAAAGGAAATGGTTGGGACAATCAGTAATCATGGATAATTGATTCCTCATCACCTTAGGCAAATATCCAACAATGAAGCACAACACAGGAAGATAAGCATATCACGGGTTGTGGTGCTGGTAGGTTTTGTTTTTTGTTTCTATTAATTAAAACAGACATGTGCCCTAGGGACGTGAAGATGCTCTCCCATTCTGTACAAGCGGTGCTCCATTTGCTGGCAATTATTCCAGGGAAGAAGCTTCCCTTGGTGACATAGCACGTAATTTGCACGCACAATGAGCTGGAAAGTAGGGAAGAACTTCGATCTGTGTTTTGACGTGACTTTCCAAAGTGTGCATCTTTTTTCATCAAGCAACAGAAGGAACACAAGGACCTGTTTGTTCGGGAAATGCATGAGAAATGCATGAGGAATTCGATTCTGTTTCTGATCTGGGTTCACTGAGTTCACACCTTCTGGACTGAACAGGGATTCGGCCGGTACCACCTTCCCAAACTTACGGCATGATTGGTGGTCCCCCAAAATGCGTGTGACTGTTTGAGAGGAAGACTTCCATATCTACCTGCCTGGCCTCTAAGATCTGGGTTGGAGGTCCCTCTTCAGGAGCCCTCTTTGAAGGCGATCAGAAGAGTGGAAACCCAGAGAAGGGCCTTCTCTGCGGTAGCACCCCGGCTGTGGAATGGGCTTCCTGAAGAGGTGCACCTGGCACCGATGCTTTTTTTCATTTCAGTGCCAGGCCAACCTCTTTTTCTTTCCCCTTTATTTTAAATGTTCGTACTATTTTGATTCTATATATTATTCTTGATGCTGTATCGTATTTATTTATTTATTTATTTTCTTGCGACACTGTGGAGGGCAAGATACAAAAGCTTTGGATGGATGGACAGACGGACGGACGGATGCCTACAGACAGCGGTCACACCCATGGCAACCTTCTTCCACATCAGGTGCGATGGCCCCAGTGCAGCTCGGAGGGCCAGGGAAGAGGGCCAACCGTGGACACAGCAGTGGTGTGATGTTCCTTCCCTCCAACAGCCGTTTCGGTGCCAGTGGCAGCCGCTCAGGCAGCCTCTGCCCTTGGTGCGCTTGCACAGCAGGCGGGGCTCAGTTCCTGGCCATCATCTGAGGCGCTCACAGGACCTGAGACCCTGGGCCACTGAAAGCAGACCAGACGTGGACTCTCAGCCCAGCCTACCTCACAGGGTTGTGGTTAGGAGTATGAGATGGAGCTGTGGAAGCTGGCTTAGGCTGCTCACAAGAGGAAAAGGGCAGGAGAGAAATGCATCGACCAATCCATCCATCAATGACGGCAGCGTTACTCACCAGCGTCTTGTAGTCGATCTGCTGCCGGATGAGCTTGTCCTCGCTGAGGGAATAGCGGGCTTCCCCAGTAATGGCGTCGATCGGGCCCTTCTCCATTTGCTGCTTGATGGCACAGAAGAGCGAGAAGAGAGGCTCGCCCGCACACTCCTGCAGGGAGGGAGAGGCACACCAGGGAATGAGGAAGAGGCGCCTCTGGGGACCCTCCGCCTGGAGACTCGCCACTCCGTAACATAATTAAATGCAGTGCCAGCGCTTGTCCAGCTGCACCACGGCGTGCAACCCAGTTTAAGGATGACGCTGTTTTGCAGGTCTGCTCATGTTATCTCATTCATGGCATTACCTGGCACTTGGTTGGCTTCCTTGCGTTCCCCTCCACCCCAACTTTCAGATCCTTAGAATAGCAGAGTTGGAAGGGGCCATGAAGGCCATCCGGTCCACCCCCTGCTGTTGCAGTACACCAAGTCACACCATCCCACTCAGAGGGCTGTCCAGTTTCTCCTTGAATGTCTCCAGTGTGGGAGAGCCCCCCACCTCTCCAGGCAGCTGGTCCCACTGCCCTATTGCTCTGACAGTGAGGAAGCTCTTCCTGATGTCCAGCCTGACTCTGGGTTGTTGCAACTCAGATTAATTATTCCATGTCCTACTCTCTGGCATCAGCACCCTGAGCCTCGTGCCCTCCAGATGTTGCAGACTGCTGCTTCCATCATCCTCAGCCAGCCTGGCCTTTGGCACAGCCAGGAGCAGGGGTCTTGGCCCCAAATGGGAAAGGGAAGTGCAGCGGACTGGCTGTTTCCTCCAGCAGGGCAAGGAGGCCCGTGTTCCATGAAGGCCTGCAGTGGTCCTGAACTACATCTCCCAACATCCCTGGCCATGGACCAGGGGGACCGGGGCTGTTGGGATTTGCAGTCGGGAGGCTACCATGACAGGGAAGCTTGGTCCACACATTAACACTGGAGATGGAAGCCCGCTTGCCCAGAAGTTCGTCCCCCACACTTCAAGGGGCGCCCAGAATCCAGGGAGGCGAGCCGCCTTTCCGCGTCATTGGGAGCCCTCCCTCATGCCTCCCCTCCCTCCCCTCCCTCTCCTCTGGGCTTTCTGGCTTTCATCCCTGAGAGGTCCACCCCAAATTTGCCAGCGTAGCTTCAATTCTGTCTCCTGCAAATCCCCGGGAAGCCGGTTCCTCGTCTGACGCGAAAGTGGGCCCTTTTTCTCCACTCAGACACCTGCCCGCCACTTAATTAGCTTATCTCCCCGAAGCATATTGCCTCAGCGCGGCTGCTCTTGCCTTATCAGCCCGTGTTTTTGGGCAAAAGGCAGGAAGACAAGAAGCCGAGGAGAGAAAATCAAATAGCCTATTATAAGAGCAAAGCTTTCAGCGGCTCACCTCCCTCTATCCCCCACTTTCAGCTGGATATGGGGATCTGATAGAAGGAGCCACTGAGTCGACCTTCCTGGGCCCTTCAAACTTTTCCTGCCACGAGAGGTAGCGGATCACAGGAGGCAGGAGGACGGTCTCCTCGAGGAGCTTTAAGCCCTGCCGCACCAGGGATGGCAGAAACGCTGGAGGTAATTGGCTGTGCTCAGGGTGCGTGTCCCTTGACACGGACGGCTCATCAGCAGTTCTGGCCGTGGAAACCCGGAGTGCCTGGCTGCACGTTTGCTGTGAGTTATCACCTCCAGGGGGATGGGGACGGGGGCGGGATGAGGAGAGGTGAGGCTCCAGTGTTAGGGCTGCAAGATCTGGGAGGCGATCTTGTAGGCATTTATTTGGGAGTAAGACCGATAGCCTCAGCAGAGCTTCGATCCAAGCGAGCACAGATTCGTTCAGGCTCACGGGGGCAACGAAGCATGTGGGTAACCACACCTGGTGGAGCCAAGGTGTGTGAGAATGAAAGCATCTTGGGGGGCGGGAGTAAGACCGAGAGATGTGAGGATCCAGCCCTCTTGCACCCTCCACACCTCCTTCCCTCACTTGGGTCTGGCCGGGAAGGGAGCTTAGCTGAGATCGGGTCTGCAAACCCTCTGGAATGTTCCTAGCTCCTTTGCACAAAATATACAGATCAGTCATTCTTCCTGCAAATTACACAAAGAATGCAAAGCCCACAAGTCACATGTGCGGAAGCAGAATTCCACTTGAACTGGCTTCCTACCAGACGTTCATGCAAAGGGAGAAAGCTGTCCAAAGCCTGAGGAGCTGAGCGGAGGAGGTCAAGCGAAGTCCAGGCCCAATTAAGGCGCTGGTGATGACCTATAAGGCCCTGAACAGCTTGAGTCCAGGATACCTGAAGGAGCGCCTTCTTCCCCATATGCCCTCCTACCCCGTGAGCTCTGGGTCGGAGGTCCTGCTCTGGGAGCCCTCCTTGAAGGAGGATGGTGGCTACCCGGAGGAGGGCCTTCTCTGCGGTGGCACCTCAACTGTGGAACACGCTCCCCAGAGAGGTCCGCCTGGCGCCAATGCTTTTTTCTTTTCGGTGCCAGGCAACCCCCTTTTTATTTTCCCATTATTTAATTGTAAATTGGTTTTAATTGTGCTCTAATATTTAATCACCAGATGCTATGCCATATTTATTTTATGCATGCTTGTCGAAAAGCATCCCGCGATGCCAGTAATGGGACAATCTATAAAAGCTTTAACTAAATAAATGAAATAAATCTAATGGATTGTCACCCCCAGATCAGATTCCTCACCTGACCCTGGTGAAACCTCCCCGCCCCCCAGTTTTTTCCCTCTGCTGGATTTTGGAGTTACTACAAATTAATACAAATCTCACTGCTCCTTCTGAATATCCCTCCCCTGCTCAACTGAAAATCCCAGGTTAGGAGGTCTTCTTTGCAACACGCATTCGGTCAGTAACAGGTGGAGGTACGTCATGCAGAAGTGTGCCACTTTCACCTGGACAGACTCTTCTTACCTTGAGGAATTTGTAGAGCAAAAAAGTGAACCAGTTGGTCAACATCTTCTCGGCAACAGATTCTGTCCTGGAATGAAAGTGCAAAGAATAGAAACATCACCGACCCAGACAAAAAGAAGAGAAAGCCAGTTTGCGTGTTTGTTCTTGTTTTGCCCTTCCAACTCCGTTTTGGAATCTGCACAAGTCCTCCTCACGAACTGTAAATGAAGCAGCGAGTTGTGCTGTAAATGCATTTTGGTTGAGAAGTTAACAAATATGCTCCATCTGATTTCCCCCTTGGATTTTGCTGCTTTGGGGTGCCGCTTCGAATGGAATTAGCCATGACATGTACACCACACGTATTTTAATCAGATGGGAAACAGAAGCCTTCCAGTGAAGCTGCTGGGTTTCTGCATCCTTATCACTCATCTAGTAAGGATTTCTCTCTGAAAAGACCATTTTTAATGCTGCAAGGTCAAGACGGGACTGCCATCAAACTCCAAGACACATACGTATAATGCAGCAAATCATGCATAAACCTATGAATTCTTGCATGCCGTACAGTTTTTGGAACCTCTCCTGCCTGATAAGCCACTGATCTGTGTTCTTACATAGCTAGAGATGTACAAGCGTTTCGTGTGTGGTTGGCAGGAGAGAAGCAAACTGTGATATCGGGACGGAGGCAAGTTGATTGTGGAGGTTGGGATGGAGTCTTGCAGGTTCCTGTGGTTGTTCCACATGGGAGGACAGCACAGCTGGAGAAGGGCCTTCTCCAAGCACACCTTGCCGTCCCTGGAGCCATGAAAGCTTGGTGCCATCATCAAGTCCTTGCTTTCTCTGAAGCCTCCAAGGAAGCAAAGGATGGATGGACGTCATCAGGCCTGCCAGGTTCTGATCAGTGGTTCTGGGTTGGACAGAATTCCTAAGGAAACTCTGGTGATCCAAAGTCTGGATTTTGACTAGGGTGGGATTTCTTTCCAACCTTACTATTTCTTTAAATTTTGGAAAAGGCTAACAAGGGAAAGAGAAGAATGAAGAAAGAGGGAAATTGGAAGAAATAAGCCAGAAAGGGCAAACACATGAAAAGAACACCAAAAGGGCCTTCTGAGTTCTACTATTATCAGAGAGAAATGTCATCCTGGCCACTTTCTCCGCACATGCATAATTACATCTCCCTCTCTTGTGTCTCCCCTTATTCACCTCTTTTCTAAGCTGAACAGCCCCAGTTGTTGTAGCCACTCCTCACAGGGGAGTTTCTCCAGCCCCTCAATTGTTTAACTGGCCTTTTCTGTACATCCCCCAACTCTAGAATATCCACTTTTAGGTGCAGTGACCGGAATTGTACACACTGTCCCAAGTGTGGCCACACCAGAGAGATCTTTCTCCCTCTCCCAGAACACTTGAATCCAGGTCATCCTATGAAGCTGATTGGTGGGAGGTTTGGGACAGATAGAAGGAAGTGCATCTATCCATCTAAACTATGGAATTAGCTGCCGTGGGAAGTGGTGATGGCCACCATTTGGATGGCTTGAAAAGGAGATTGGACAGATTCATGAGGGAGGAGCCTCTCCGTGGCTACTAGCCTTGCTGGCCAGGTGCGCCCTCCTTGACCAGAGAAGATGTGCTTGAATACAGCAGCTGCTGAGCAGGTTGGGCAGGGGGAGGCCTTGCCCCCACCTTGCTGGAGGGATCTTGGGGGCAGCTGGTTTGCCACTGTGGGTACGGAGTGCTGGACAGGATGGATCTCGGATCGGATCCAGCTGGGCTTTTCTCACGTTCTCATTTTAAGTTGGGCTTCGTATTGCCCTGGTGTACAATACTTCAAACTTGCTCACGTTTACCATTTGGAGGACAGTCTCCCAGTCCCTTTTTGGGACTCCTCGCAATCCATTTTTGCTTTAGCCACCCTAAACAACTTGACGTCGTCAGCCAACCAATCCATTTCACCGCTCGCCTCACGCCCCAGAGCATGCATGAATAGGCAGAAAAGCATGGGTCTTAACGCAGAACCACGGGGGAGCCTCCGTGCACTGGGAGAACTCGCCACGGATCCCTACTCTCTGCTTTCCGTTTTTAACTGGCTACGGACACATAAGTGGATCTCCCCTCTTATTCCACGACCACTGATTTGCTCAGGAGTCTTTGCTGAGCAACTTCGTCAAAAGCCTTTTGGAAATCCAAGTCGACAAAGACATTGGAAGAGATGGAAGTTCTCATGGCAGTTGACGGTTCACTCTCCCAAGGAATTTCTCAAACAAGGCAGTGATCTTAGCCTTACAACAGCAGCGAGTTATTTTTCTCAGAATAAAGCAAACTAAGGCAGAGATCTGATTTCTGCTCCCCATGTCCAAATTTAGCAGCCCAAATAGTGCAAGCAACTAGAATTGCACACCTCTTATTGATGTTCTGCAATGGGCCGCATGCCATGGAAAGCAGATTGCTTAGCCAGCTACCTAGCCTTATGTATCTGGGGTTTTCCACCCCTCCCTTTTTGGAACAGCTCTGCAGAGGGACTTTCAGGAATGCCGCGGCTTCTGTTCTCACTCACATAAATCTTCAGCTATTCCTCAAAAGCTGATGGGGATGGTCTGGATTTTACCCCAGTTGGATCTCACAAATGGTTATGAAGCTTCAGACAGACACTTGTAGGATCCAGAGTTTGTCTTGGCAAACGGGACCTCTGGATGGAGGATGCTATTCAGCAAGCTCTAGCAGGTACGATAGAAGACTCTTTTATTCCTAGCGTACATGCAACGAGCAGGTGAAAAAGGCACTCCAGGGCTTCCAATTTCAGAGAATTAAAATACTGGTTGATTCTTACCCTTATTCCTACTCTTGCTCTTTATTCTTGCTTTTACTGTTATTATTCTTACTATTACTCTTACTATTTTTATTGAACTCTCTGCTATAATTTATGGTAATTCACAGATTTCATAAAAAGCTCTTCTTGCTGAAAACTTTTGAAAGTATGAAAGAACTGGAAAACACCCACAATGCACCCAAAATGACAGAACTAGCCTTACGATGCTGGAAGAAGAATTATTTCAGAAAAAACGGCCTATACTAATGGCCAGTTGCCCTCCCACTGCAATTCTGAAAGTCAGTACCCCTGGCCGGATGGAAGGGTTGCTGGAAGTGTCAAAAGGCATCTCTTTTCAAAATGTGAAACTGGCATTTCTGCAGGCAAAGCTAAATATCAGAATCCAACTGAAGTATCCACTCAACATTGAAGGATGAGTGATTATATCAATTTTCTCTCCATTTCTCATTTTTTCAGTGTTAGGTTTGGTTCATCCCAACTGCATGAAAATGCTTAGCGTCTTACTTGCTCATTTCTCCTAATGCGTCCATTTCTGAACATAGTTTTGCTTAATATGCACATTTCTGCAAGCCGTTTCCCTAATATAATGCATTTATTCATGAACGTTACTTCCGCATGTGTTGTTGTGAGCGTGTTTGTGCAATGCGCACACTTTCCTAGGCAGCATTTTTGCTTGGAGAACTCAATTGCAAAATGAGAACTGCAAATTTAGAAGGGTCACAGACTCGTAATTCATCTACTGGTTTGCATGTGTGAAAGTAGGCAAGTTTGCCCTGAAATGTGTGCCCAGTGCATTAATCCTGTCCTTACATGGAGCTTAAGTTCATTTAATACCTTTCTCCAGCTCTGGGCAATGGAGGCAATAGCGGCCCCGGCCAACAGAGGACAGTGGTGACTCCAGAGTTCCCTCTAGAGGCGAGGCCGGGGCAATGTACCCGCTCCAATGCTTACCGGCGAAGCAGCAATTTGGGGTGGTTTTTGCTCTCCAGGTTCTTGTCTATGAGGTCAGCCAGGAGCTGCTTGAGGACGTCGGTGGCGTACTCCAGCTTGCTCTGCAGCACGGTCATGATGAGGGAGGCCACGTTGCCCCGGTCCCGCATGGAGAAGCTGCGCTGGGACTCCAGGGTGCGGATGAAGGACAGGAGGAAGGCCTTGTTGTTGATGAGCTGGGCAAAGAGCTTCAGGCCTTTCTCCACACGCTCCTGCCGATAACCAGGGACCTGTCGCGAAGCAAGAGAGAAGCATTGCTCGGGCCCAGCACGATCCCAAAGGGCACCCGCTTGGTCCCACCGGGTGCTGAGATTGCCGCAGAGGCCGGACTCCGGGTGCCTCCGCCATCAGTGAGGTGGGGGCTGACCTGCGTCAGGGTCTTTCTGATGTCATGCATGGTGCTCAGAGTCCTCTGTGTTCACTCAGCCACAGGGAGATTCCAACCCCTGGTTGGTCGCAGGATGAATTTTCTGCCCCCGGACACCCTCCCAGGGCTACTCTGATTGGCGGGTTCCTGCCAGTGCTTGGTGACAAAGCAGCACAGAGCTTCAAAAGGGACACATTTCGCTTAAAAACACACTTCCAAATGCCTCACATCTCCAAATCTTCTTAGGGGTTAACATACAAAAATGCAAATGTTCCTGGGAAATATGCCAATATACCTGCCATTTATCTTTAATTTTTCGACATCTCTGCTCATTCTTCAATATCCGTTGTTTAGCAATCTGTGTGTGTGTGTGTGTGTGTGTGTGTGTGTCTTTGTGCATGCACACACAGGCCTGTGCATGCATTCTCTGGGCCTTGATTGCACATGGAGCTAAAATACGCAATGAAATAACAACTTACATATGAGCAGAAGTTCCAGAAGCCGTAACAGACCGTTTTGCATGTTTATCAATGAGCGACCCATGAGAGAAACGCCTGGCAGTTTGCAATGCACAGACGCAGTCTCTACCCTACCCTGTCCCATAATGGATGCGCTCTTTAAGCAAAATGGAAATGGTACGCCAAGGTTAATCCCAGAATCACGGCTACCTTGGAGTCTGACGCCTGCCAATGCACAAGACTAGAGTCGTGGGAAGGAGATGCATCGTGATTTTGCATCACAGCAAAACACCCAACCTTACCTCCAAATCCCTCAGCACTGGGTGGTCTTCAATGCCAGGGAAAAGCACCCTCATCGTGTACGTCCGGTAATCCAGGAACGGGATGCCAGCTCCGTCTAAGTCACTCGTCAGCTCGTGGATGTCCGTCTGCAGCTCGGCAAAGGCTGTGATTTGGGGTGGGGGGGGAGGGAAGGCAAACGAAGCTGCAGCATCGGATGGGAAAGGCCAAGCTTACGCAGAGACAGTGCGGAGTGGAGAAGCGGGACTTCATGAGAGTTCGGCCACATGGTACCTTGAGGCTAGTCTCCATCCCGCAGGCTGACCGTCCCCATCCGGTAGGGCAGCTTGCAAGGGTTGTGCAGAATCACACCTGTGCAAGGCCCTCTGTGCGAGGATGGAGCATGTGTCTTGGACCATGGAGAAATGCCCAGGAAACGCCCGCCTAAAAGCACGGTCTGGCTAAGACCCTCTGCAGGGCTTAGAAAGCGATTGGAGCAATGCACACCGCACCGCAGGTGGGGAATCGCAGGTCTGGGGGCCCACGTCAGCCCTTCTGGGGCTCCCCAGCGGCCACCCTCCTTTCTCTGGCCCATCCTTTCTCCCGAGTGGTTTCCTGTTGGTGTAACGCCTCCCCTAAGACTTCGTTATTTGCAGCAAGAAAATACTGGTGATGTGTTGCATTACCTTTCCCTTTGCCCTGCCTTCTTTGCTTCCGCCCTCCCTCAATGGGGATGCAGTTCCTCTGAAATTGAGGGGTCTTCCCAGGCTTTAAAAGGTGTCCGTACTAAACTCGCCCTTCTCTGGCAGGCCAGGCCCACTCACGGGCATGTCCCGTTAAAAAGACCTTGGGAGTAGCAGAGCTGGGAAAGATCTCAGCTTCTCCTCAGAGGACTGCTGTCTCTGCTGAGAGCCAGCATGGCCTAGTGGTTAGAGTATTGGACTGGGCCTCTGGAGATCCTCACTTGGCCATGAAGCTCTCTGGTGAGTGGCCAGTTGTGCACTCTCATCACAAGTTGTTGTTGTGAGGGTGGGGTGGAGAGAAGGGGGGTAATGCAAGTTGCCCCAGCTTCCTTCCAAGAAGACAAAGCGCAGGATAATCATTATCATAAGAACTGGATTAGAAGTGGAGTTGTTTCCTTAGGTCTTGGTTCACAGACCATCAGATCCCTTTGCCTCCCTGTCCCGCCTCCTGGGCAGGCACATTCTAACTTTATCCAAGAAGCCAGGGACTCTGGGACAGGTGATTTCACTGGGACCCACAACACGACCGAATGGGGTTCTGCCTCTTGGAGCTGGCTTTCAGGAGGGCTCCTTCGGCTGCGATGCAGCCTGCACCCAGAGGGGCACCTCCAGAGCCCCGGCCCCGGCCTGCCTGCAGTACCTTCCTTGCACTCCAGGGCCACGCGGGACTCCAGGTTGTCCATCTGCATCTGGAGGCGCTTGAGGGTGAGGTCGCTCTCCCGGGACTTGCGCTTGTAGGCGATCAGTACGGCCACGATGAAGATGATGAGCAGCCCTCCCGCCACGGCGATGCTGACAATGGCGGGCAGGCTGAGCGGGCTGTCCGGGGAGATGTTCACCATCCCCGGCGAGAACTCCATCCCTCCGACCCGAGCCTGCAAGGGACGGGGGGACCGAGAAAACGTGCTCAACTTAAGATGCCGTAGAACAGGCTCCCCAGATGTTTTGGACCTCAACTCCCATCTTGCTGGGGTGGGTAGGCAAATGGTGTCCCTACAGAAGGAGGAGCTGGCAGTAAAATTCTGCTCTCTGAGAAGCTCAGCTTTCCCCACTTTCCTTCAAAAACCAGGTTTCTAGCCCTCATGGTTCCTAACAAAGAGGCACTTGTGAAAGGGACCTCGGGGTGCTGGTTGACTGCAGGCTAAACATGAGCCAGCCGTGTGATGCGGTGGCCAAGAGGGCGAACACCATCCTTGGTTGCATAGCCAGAAGTGTGGCTTCTAGATCAAAAGAGGTATTACTGCAACTCTACACGACTCTGGTGTGCCCGCAACTGGAGCATTGTGCTCAGTTTTGGGCCCCTCATTACAGGAAGCATATAGCCAGGTTGGAGTCAGTGCAGCGTAGGGCCACAAGGTTGGTGGCCGGTTTGCAGGGGATGCGAGACTGAGGGAACTGGGTCTCTTCAGCCTGGAGAAGAGGAGACTCAGAGGGGATCTGTTGGTGACATACAGGTGTGTGAGGGGATGTCACACGGAGGTGGGTAGAGACCTGTTCTTCCCTGCAGAGGAAGGCAGGATGCGCTCCAATGGAGCAAGATTGGGAGACAAGATTCAAGGTGGATGCCTGGAAGCCCTTCCTGACAGTTAGGACCCCGAGGGTGTGGAATGGGCTTCCACGGGAGGTGGTTGAGGCCCCATCGGTGAGGGTGTTCAAAGATAGGCTGCACATGCACACGGTGGGCATGTCGTGAGTGGAGCTGGCTGGAGCCGGGGTCAGACTAGATGGCCCAGGAGACCCCTTCTGACTCACTCTGTTTCTACGTGTTTGAAACAGTATGGGCAATAGCAGCTGCTGAAAGCTCAGGAGCCACAGGAGTGGCTGAATCAAATCTGCAATGTTTGGGAGCAGATTTCACAGGCTTTCAGAGCTGCGCATAATGAGCAGGACACTCGTGAACACTAAGGAGGAAATTATGTCAAAGAAGAAAAATCTGTAAATTGGTTCCATTCCGTGTTCTTTGCGCAGGTTGCAGAATCCAGCCCAGCTCTGGGAAGCGAATCCTGTTTCCCTTCTGCCGCTTACCATCACTTTGTGCCGTCCAGTGAGATTGGGGGACTCGCACAGCAGCTGCACCTCTGACACTGTCACCACACACGGCTTCTCGCCCACCAGGACGGTGTAATTCAGCTTGGCGTTCCCTCCCGCTACAGGTGGGATCAGGTTCTTCCCCTGAGTCAAGTGAAAAGACATCCTGAGCAGGTACGGAACCCAGGTGCCTCGTTCCAAGGAGAGAGTCTAAGAACGTGGGTCATGGCGGACTTTGCAATCAGGTGGCGCCCAGCCGGATGACCCGCTGCAGCCCAACCGTTGGGTGGTGAGGCGCCACTGCAATCTCTCCTTTACGTCAGGAATTCTCAAGCACGTGCCCCAAACCTTCCAGTGTCAGTACAAAAAGGACTTGAAGATCCGGCGACTGCAACCGTGCAAACCCCAAGCCACCCACGGAATACTGTCTCGGGAAGGTGCCGAATGGGGTGGGGATGATCGTGGTGGGATCCCACTCCTTAGGGATTCGCAGACATCCTCGTCCGCTCGGCCCGATCCTTCAACGTGAGCTGAGCTGAGAGGAACTCTGGGAACCCTTGCGGGAGGGAGGCTGCACAGCTGACAGCCTTCGTCGTTTCAGCCACTGCAGAGCGAGCGGCTGCTGTGAGTGATGAGGAAGAGGGGGGCTGCTTGTGCCCCACAGGGGGCTCAATTCCCAGTGAGCGCCCCATGAAAACTGGGCCTGCTCCCTGTTGTAACCCCCCTCACAAGAACTTGGACTCAGGCCGCTGCAAAGTGGACCAGTGGGGGGTGGAGCCCAGGGAAGCCGACAGATCCCACCCCCCCAAGAGAGATTCTTCGCACATCCCTAACTGTGGGTCACCACGTTTCCCAGAATTCAGCTGGTTTCACTGCCCTGAAATGGTTGCGCTACTCAAGCCAGAGGGAACTGCACCCATCGCTTGCGGTTTCGGATGGTTCGCGCACATTGTACATAGATGCATCCCTCCATCTCTGTGTACCTTTAATATGACAGGGGTTCCTGGTTTCAGTTCCAAAATCCCAGAGGGGTTGAAAGCCTCAAAGACTGGATTCGGATAGTAGGTGAAGTTGGTTTTGTTCAGGACGAGCAAGGCATGGACGTTGTCCAAGACGAAGCCAAATTCGTCCGGCCGCTCAGCAAGGTCAGACTGGTTCTCTGGATCAGCCGCTAGGGCTGGAGCCTGGCAGATCATCTCGGTCTCATTCTGCACTTCACACACCTAGAATGGATCATCCCCAAGGCAGGGGAAGCACAGGTGATTATGCACGCAGAATTAATCACAGCAAAGGAAGCCCAGAAATCATGACCCGGCATGCGGCACCGAAGGTGGGGGGAAGCATTTATTCCGTTCCTCCTTATTGGGAATGTATGTAACTGCAGTTTGGACCCACTAGGACAGTGGTGGCGAACCTATGGCACGCGGGCCACAGTGGGCACACAGAGCCCTCTCTGTCGGCGCACGAGCCAAGCCACCCCAGCATCACCCCAGCAGCCGAGCATCGGATAACAGCGCACACAGGGGCCATGCGCATGCTCGGAAAGGATAGCTGTGCCAGGTGATGATGTCACGAGCCATGACTCATTAGCCGCGACTCGTCCGAGCTTTCGCATGGCCAGTCAGTGCGCTGCCAAGGATATGTATATATTTGCTTGGATTGGCTGTGAGTTTCAATACATTCATTTTTATTAACACAAGATTTTAGCTTTGAGTTTTCTTATGAAAAATTGAAATTTAATATCTAAGATTAAGCAAAGAGATGTTCTAATTAGGAGACTGAGATTCTTTTAATGTTGCGCTGTCCTCCTGGCACATTTGAATCTGCAACATCATATTTAGTTGTTTTATCTAAACGAAAACCTCAGTATTCAGGTTTTATTGTTGTGTTGGCACCTTGTGATAAATAAGTGGGTTTTGGGTTGCAGTTTGGGGACTTGATCTCTAAAAGATTTGCCATCACTGCCCTAGGAGAACCAGCACTTGGTTATCCTTTGAAATTTGCACTCCTTCAGCTTTTGTAACACAATATGGATTAGGAAAATGGCTTCCAAAACATGTGCATTCTGGGTAAGGATGCATGACATCCTTGGCTGCATATGGCTGCAGAAGCGTGCCCCAAATTCTTGCAAACGTGCAATTTTTCTTTAAAATATCTCAAATGAAGCTTACGACTGGAATATGAGAAACTAAGAAAAATTGAAATACATCCGTAAAACCTGTGCGGGGCCACATGGAGACTGCTGTGAAGGAGAGAAGCGACTCAGCTGAATCAGTGAGGCGAGAGTCACTCCAAAAGGTTACGAAAGTTATAATCGGATGCGTGTTGAGACTAGGTTTTGGAAGAACCCTCTCAGAATCCATCTCTCCAAGCATACATGGGTTTCCTCTGCAAATTAGGCCAGTGTGTGTGGAGGCAAGCCAGGGGTTTTCCTGGCATTTTAACAATTAATTGGTTTTATCCTTGTTTTTTATTTTTATTTATTGGATGCAGTGTGTTGTGTGTTGTTGTTGTTATGGTTTCTTTGTTCTTTGGTTTTTTTGTTCTTTGTAAGCTGTCCAGAGACTTTTAGTAATGGAACAGCATATAAAAAACTTTAAATAAATAAATAAATAAACAGACCCCCACCTCTGGAGGGATTTCTTGCACAACCCCAGTTGCGAGAGAGAGAATTCCTGCAGCATCGTTGCCTGGGCAATGTTAGGAGTTGTAGAGCTTCCTCCGTGTAATATGCACACGATCGTACTTTTCAGGACTAAGTTATTCCGACTTACCGGCAAGAGAGCCCCATTGGAGCCTATGTTTATTTTATTTCTATACCTCCCAATAGTCTAAGCTCTCTGGGCAGTTTAAGAAGATTCCCAAAACAGAACTAAGTATAATACAACCATAAAATCATTCCAAGCACGCCATGTAAATTTCAAATAGTTACAACAAAAGCAATATCCAATAAGCAATAAAATGTTTGCAATGACTACGGCGGTGTCTTAAAACATCTCAGCACGAAGAGCTGTCTTAATCTGGTGTTGAGAGGATGACGGGGTCGGCTACAGGGCACCTCAGTGGGGAGACCCTTCTGCAGTCAGGGGGCTCACACCGAGAAGTCCCTTCCACGTGATGCTGCCTCGCAAGCCATCCTTATTATTTATTTATTTAAAGTTTTTATATGCCATCCCCTTGCTATATAGCCTCGGGACGGCACACAGAAATAAATAAATACAAAACAAATAACAATTACAATTAAAACCCGGAAACACACTGGCTGCACAAATAAAACCTATACTATTAAACATTATTAAAATATAGTTTGAATAAAAAGGTCTTGGCCTGGCGCCGAAAAACAAATAACGACAGCGCCAGGCGGACCTCTCTGGGGAGCGCATTCCAGAGGTGGGGTGCCACTGCAGAGAAGGCCCTCCTCCGGGTACTTTGCCTCCTGATATCTCCCATGGAGGGCTCCCGGAGGAGGGCCTCTGCTGCCGATCTCAAGGGGCAGGAGGGCAAATATGGATGCAGGCTTTCCTTGGGCTGGGCACTCCGATGGATGCCCCGGGTGTTGATTTTAATGTGCAGGCAAAGACTGGCTGACCTCAGCTCTTGTGGTCCCAATCCACCGAAGGCCTTGCCGTTTAAAATCAGTACCGTGAACTGGGCTTGGGATTCTTCTGGGAGGCGACCCACCCCATCTCATTTGGTGGGGAGTTCCAGAGAAGGACCACTGAACATGATCTTTGGGTCAGAAGGAGATGACCCACCAGGTAACCTGGCCACAAGGCATTCGGGGTTTGGAACATTTTCCCAGTACTTGGAACCCAGCCCAGAAATGGACCGGCGGCTGGTACAGACAGAACATCACTGGCATGGGCCGAGGCACTTTCACAATCTCTCTGTCCTGTTTTGGACCAGCTGAAGTTTCTGCAGGATTTCCAGAGACAGCTCGAAGTATAATGCATTGCAGGAATCCGCATGAGACGCTACCAGAATATGATTAACTGTACCCAGTCATTTAACAGAATCTGCCGGGCTGCAAGAAGACCGAATCGAGTAGAATACAATCTTGGGAGCCCTTCTCTGAAGCGGCACTGCTAATATACTAGAAACAAGAAGGCCTTCTGGAGAAAAACTCCTTCCTCATCTGCCCCCCACCTGTTCAATTTCACCAGTGAAATAGGCCAAGCCACTCTCCATTAAGTGCCATGCCAGCTCTGCAGAGCAATCGTGTTGAGCTAAATCAGAAGTGACACGGCTCAGGCCGGGCTTGCCGACGTGCCGAGTGCAGCTGGCATGCATCCACTGTTGCAGAACGAAATGGCCCGGGAGATGCGCAAGGAGGAGCCTGGCTGGGGACTGCTGCGCTTCCACAGGAGCGAGGCCAGGGCCAGATCCAGGTTTTTGAAGGCCCTTCACAAGGGGGCCTTCCCATGTCACAGTGAGTCAGCCACTGATCAGACCCAGCGGCCACCCAGCCCAGCAGTCCATCCCACGATGGCCACCAAGCCCAAAGAACCGGAGTAGAACAGGAGTAGAACAGGAGTACCCCTGCCCATATTCCCCGGCAGCAGGTGGACTTAGCCACACTGCCCCTGAGCCTGGAGGCAGCATACAGCCATCAGGACGAGTGGTCCCAACATTTTCCCCCAGGAAATTGTCCACCCCCCCACTGTTTTTAGAGCCACCCAAATCACCCCAATTTGCAGACGTCCTTCTTCTAGCTCTATGGGGCCAGTTCATGCCCCACTGTTCGCTCGTCTGGCCATCTCCATCGACTCTCATACTCACATTGACGTGTTCTTTCCCACCGTACTTTGCTCGGATCTGTGGGTTCTGGATGAGGTCCAGGTTAGTGCCCCACACCGTGATGGGCGTATTTCCACTGATGGGGCAGATAAAAGAAAAGGGCCATCAGCTGAAATCTTTCAATCCATTCCTCTGGAAGTTTGCAAAAAGGAAGAGGCCACACAGTGTCAAAATATCCCTGCACCAGGTTTGGGACACACCTAATTTTGTTGCTGAACCATCTTGCCAGAAATGGGTAATATCTGGACTGTGGGTAACCCATGAAAGGAGCTTTGGAAAGTATACCTGGTATTACCTTCACTTTATAGGCAACCCCATGTCGGAATTTCATTTTTCATTACTGTTTTCCAGTCATGAAAAGCTGATTTCTGCAGAAAACCTGGCAGCTAAAAGAATCTTGGCTAGTTTCACCAACTTGTCAGTTCACTTATTTTTTTCTTTGTTTTTGCTCGAAGGGAAAGTCCCTAATTGGCTTTGCATATTTGTTTTGCACTCACATGCAATTCCACTGCATCACAGGTACTCCGACCTGAAAACTGCATAAACAGTTAGGACATGAATTTTGCTCAAAGTCGAACTCTTTCAAGGGTAAAACTGCCATGATAATGAAGATGGTTCAGCACTAAAACTCTGAAACATCATAACAATAGCGGCAACGTAAATATTTGTTAATGCTAGAAATGAAAGAGAAATTCACTTCCGTTTTCCAGGCCTATGAACTCCTGTTTACAATCCCAAACATTAACAAAAGTGCTTTTCTTCAAGGACTATTTTCAGATTCCTGAATTTTGGATAACTTTTGCTCTAAAAATGCACATTTCAAACTTTAGTCAATGGTGGAACATGCACTCCTTGGAAAAATACAATCAGAAACACATACTTTCCCCATCGGAATTCACTTTTCCCACTGAACCATATCAAAAAAGGTCGAAAGGTCATCAGTGAAAATGGGAGTCAACTGAAACAAGTTTCAAACTGATTTTCGGAGAATTTTGGTGAGCCCCAAAATCAGAAGCTTCCCATCTTTTCTTCAGGCTCATCCTTGAAAGCTGAAGCCCCCCTGTACTTTGGTCTAACATACGCTGGATCGTTGAAATCGTTTCTTTGCCATTTCCCACTTCTCCAAATGGAACTTTCAGTCACCTCTGATCCCAGATGCATTTACACTAAATTAATCTTAACTGTTTAAATTCCTCACAATAATTAAGGTCCTTAATTGATTTACAAGGAACAGAAAGAGGAGCTTGAGGGGTGGGTGGGATGTGGGGAGCTGCAGTATGTTAATTGCCCAGCCAGGTTTTTAACCCCTCCGGCCTTCCAATTACTTCACTTTCACCATGGAGCGGTAAACCAATGATGTATGGCGGAGAGAGAAGAGAAGCACTTCTCCTTTTAAAGTCTCTTAAAAGGAATGCATGAACATTTAATGACCAATTTCTCTCTTCACTGGGCCGGGCTTGGCATGATTTACATATCTTTTAGTTGCTTCCACATCCAAGGGAGTGTGAGGCCGGCCAGTGTGAATCAGCACTTTGATTGCACCAAACATCTTCTCCAATGCAAAAGCATTCCCAGTGCAGTAATAATGTTATTATGAATGATAACAAAATCCTTACACTCGACAGTCCAGATGTATAAATCGCCTCCTAACAATCTGAGAGCTCATTTAGGCTTTGATGCAAACATCCTCAAATATATTAAAGATGCAGCCCTCCACCTGTTGAGCAGAAAGATGGGATTCCCAGCCCAGGTGAAGTCTGGGGAAGGTGGCAAGCTGGTGCACCTTTCTTCTGCCTAACTTTGCAAAGGATTGCCCAGGTGAAGGATGAAAGGGGCTGGGATTCTAAGGCCCTGATCCTGTCCTGCTCCTTTCTCTGCAGTGACTGGCTCTTTGGGGGGTGTGAAGCGTCTGCGCATTGCTCCTTCTCTGTGAAGTGCTGAATGCCCCTCCTAAAGCTTTGTGGCTGGTGGCAGAAGCCGGGCAGGGTGCAGAACTCGGGGTGCGATGCATTTAAAGAGCTCCGGTTTCTAAGGATCTGACCCACACTTGTGGATTCTGTTGTGACCTGCACACATCTTGCACAAGCGCAGTGACGGGCCACTAGGATGGAGGCTGGTTTGCAGGGTAAGGAGAGGAGGAGAGACTGAGGGAGCTGGGTCTCTTCAGCCTGGAGAGGGGGAGACTCCGAGGGGACCTGCTAGTGACATGCAGGTACGCAAGGGGCTGCCACGCAGAGGCGGGTCATGACCTTTTTTCCCCCAGTGGAGGGCAGGATGCATTTCAGTGGAGCCAAGCTCAGGGAACCAAGATTCAGGGTGGATGCCAGGAAGCACTTCCTGACAGTTAGGACCCTGAGGGTGTGGAATGGGCTTCCACGGGAGGCGGTTGAGGCCCCATCGGTGAGGGTGTTCAAGGACAGGGTGTTCAAAGGACAGGTAGACAGGAGTGGAGCTGGCTGGAGCCAGGGGTCAGACTAGATGGCCCAGGAGACCCCTTCTGACTCACTCTGTTTCTCTGTTTCCTATGTTGCTAAGTGCACCATCTCTAATGTGGGCGTCCAGTGGATTTCATACCTCTTCCAACATGGCAAGCCTCCCCTCAGACCACTCACATTTAAAAGGTATCCATTGGGAGAAACAGTGTCCTGGAATCTGCATTTTGGAGCAGTTGTAAATACGAAGTAGCTAAACTGGATGTTCCCCCTCAGAGGCTGCCCGGGGCAAATGTGCCGGGTGGGTTTCCCCAGCCCATCGCAGATGCGAAGTCCCTTTCCTGGGCCGGGACAAATTAAGCACCAGGAGCCAACACTCACATTGCTTGGGTCCACAGGTGGATGAACTGTGGGGTGCAGGTCACACGTGTCCCCTGCCCTCCCCAGTGGGGCCAAGCTAGCCCCCACTGCCCCCCTCAAATTAAAGGAGGCAGCAGAACAAGCATCCAGCGACTGTGATATGTAACCAGCCCAACCGTGGCTCTTTGCTGCTCCCAGAAGAAAGTCAAATATAACATGAGAAGCAGCTAAATCTGAAATGTGATGGAATGAACCCCTCTGCATGGATCTGCTGGTGATATTCAGGGCTAGCGAGGCCTTCTTCTTCTTCTTCTGGCTTGGGTGGGGGCAGAAAAGAGTCCTAGATCCCCCAAAGTTTCCCACTTCTGATTTAGGCTGGATTTTTTTGGGGGTGGGGGGAGAATTTGAGGACTCCCCTCCAAGCTGCTCCCGCCACCAGCAGCAGCCCAGTACCTGACAATGCTCCATTCGGGCTCGATCCTCAGAATGGATGGATCCTCCACATATTTAAACTTCAGCTCCTTGGGTGCCTTGGCCTTCTCCAGTTCTTTGTGCAGCGTGGCCTTGTCCACCTTGACTGACACGTCCACCACGTTCCTTTCCAAGCCATTGCTGAAAGCCGTGGTGTTGCAGACAATGTATTCCGCAGTCCTCCTGTCAGGAAAATGAAGCAAGATGAAGAGAGCCAGGCGAGTCCTGCTCTTGTATTTTACCAGGTGGAAACCAATATTGTCAGGCTGGGAAATGCATCCATGGAGGCCTTCTTCTTACATTTCCAAAATGTAAAGTTTCATGCCTCCGTTTCCAGTTGTATGAAATTAATACACTATTCTAAGTGAAGCCCTTCACACTTCCAAATCTGGCTTCCTTTGAAGCATTGCAGCACGTTCACCTTTCTGAGTAACTTTGCTCTGTAGAAATGACTTTTCTCTAGCTAACTGAAGGACAAATGCACTTTCCATTATTACTTGGCTTGCATTTTTAAGGAAAAGCAGTCTCCTCTGGCCTGATTCAGAACCATGCCGCAGATCTGGATGGGGCCCCTTCAGCTGTTCCTTACATAAACTGCTCTTCTAGGGTTCCTGCCAGTCCCCAGAGAGAGAATCTTTTGCAAACAGGGCTTTTAAGGGAACTTGGCAGCCAGTGCCCTCTGCCCCGGCTTGGAATGCTGGGCCGCCTTTTAGATCAAGGCTCTGCAGGGGTGGTTTTCCTTTCCAAGAAAAGAGGCCCATTTGCCACATTTTTGAAAGCATGCAGAGTGCAAATGCCATTGTCCCTCGTTGATGGAACTGCCCCTTCACTTCACAATCCCCCAAAGTCTGCATGCAAAGGTACATCAGGGGGCCAGGCAGGCAGGCAACAGGATTGGGGCCCAAGATGCCCATCCTAAATGGTGACCATTGACTGCAACTATTCCCTGAAATATTTAATCTTGTCAGGCTGTGTACCAGTGGAAAATGCAGGGTTGCTGCCCGAAGGACACCGAGACGGTGCTGCCGGCATTCAGGTTTTTGCCCGTGATCGTGACCTGTGTGCCACCCGAGACCGGACCTTGCTTCGGATTTAGGTCGGAAAGGGTCAGGATCTGAAAAGACACAAATCCAGAAGAAGAAGCGCTGAAGAACGAGCTGAAAGAACCGCACCAGATCTGCAAGGACGACAGCACAGTCGGTGTACGGATGGAGAAGCGTTATTGATTTTAGGGGTGTAGAATTTGTTTTCCAGTGATGTGATATTGCTGGAAATTACTCTGAGGAACATTTAAGAAGACATTTGAGGCACAGAGGCTGGGCTTACCGCCAAATCCTGCACATGTTTACTCAAATTTAAATCCCACTGAGCTTAATGGGACCTATTCCCAGGTGCCCGGGCCTATGGAGGGGATCAGAGAGAATGCTGGCTTTGGTCACAAGCCCACATGGAATGGCGAGCTCAAGCTGGGCTCCGCGAAAGAGATTTGCAGCTGCTAAATATATGCTTCCACATGCCCCCACCCCCAAAAAGGTCTTTCAGCTTTGCAAATGTGCGTCAGTTCGACCCATACATGAATCAGCCCCACGTTGGTCTGCAAAAAGTTTCTCTGGCCAGTGAGGTCTGTGTACCCTTAATGCAGTCTTGATGCTGAGACCCAGTTAAGACTCCATCTTTTTTGCAAGCATTTGATGGGGGATTTAGCTTAGATGTTTCTTTCAGGTCTGTATTTTATGGCTGGAGAACAGAGCTGTTATTTCTTGCTTTTATATTTTGTATGTTAAAGAGTTGACATTATGTTTCAATGCTATAATTCTGGCAATTTTTAAAACTTTGTGAATCACCCAGAGAGTTTCAAGTATGGCATAGAATAAAAATGGACTTTAAAAATAAAATATAGGGATGGTAGTGGAAAGTATTCACCATTATTTAGCACAGAACCTGCAGGGGAGGGTGTGGAATCCCAGAACACACTGATGCAAGCTGAGCAGGCTCAGTTCTCAAGGAATGCTGGCTTACCCATGGAGGGCCATGGGATGGAAAACCAGGGGAAAGGAACAGAATATTCTAGAAGAGGGCTTGGCTCACTGGAACCCTAAACAGGAGATGGAGTGGCACTGGGCACCCCATTGACCATTCCCAGTTCATATTTGGCATGACAAATATTTGACTTTCCTTCCCAAACTTGAAATTTATTTATTATTTTTTATTATTAAAAGCTTTTCTAACTCATCCACCACTAGCATCTCAGGTCAGCTTTCAATGAAAAGAATACGAAAATTTAACATTTATCTACGGCATTCCCATTTCCAAGTATTCCATTTCTGCCCTAAGCTGTGATTTTGCCTGGTTCCAGTTAAGTCTTAAGTACACACTCACATGGAAATGAAAAAAAGAATCTAATTTCCTAAACCTGCATTGCATCAGTGCTGCAGAGAAAGGCTAGGTAGAAAATATATTATCAATGAATAAAAACAAATAAATATATAACTCAGCCATTCTCATCTTACTCCTCCCTCCTTAAAAAATCGTATATTTGTTATATATTGAAGAGGGTAGATATAATCCTGACACCAGAGCAAAGTGAGGGATCACCCCCTTTCCAGAGACAAATTTGAAGTTGCAGTTTCTTCTTTCATTAGCATTTTAATAGAAAAACTTTCCACTTGGTCCCAAGTGAAAAGCCAACATCTGCATTTAAATGAAGGGCTCCCCCCACCACTCCGCTTCCCATCTTCCCTTCCACTTTTAAGAATGATGGTATAAAGGGTTTAAAATCTCTTGACGAATGAGCAGGTACAATAAATGGAAAGTGTTGAATGCTGCAAATCAGCCGTGTCAGTTTCTAAAAACAGCAAATGCTTCCACTGCTTTGCTCCAGAGTTTATCCTTGGAGCATCAGAGTAGATGGCGGATGCAGTTCCCAAACACTCATCTGCCTCCTGTCTGTGCTGGTGGGAACTCAGCCCGGGACTCCGACAGTCCTCAGCATTCCCGTTTCTCCCCATTTCTACTGCTTCCAGTTGTAAGTTCTCCGCATCTCAGACCTGAGATCGCTCGGATTCTCAGAACAGTTTCTTCCCTCCTGTCCCATGCCTGATTCCCCGTTGCATTTGTGGTTGCTGCTTGTTTTGTGGAAAGGCAATCTCTATGCCCGGGAAATTTCCTTTATGGACGAAGAGGGGCTGATTTAGGCCTCCGATGAAGCCTGTGCAAATTTGTGCAAATCGGACATGGAATTAGGCATGAGACAACTGTGAGCCCAGGATTGATGATTTGTGAACATTTCCACTGGACCCACATTCAGGTTCATCTCTGCTGCTTCAAACGGGGCATGTGTACCTATTATGGAAACATAAAATGAACTTCTCCTACATCACTATTTTTGCGCAGGTTTTTTGACGGGAGAAATCTTTTTCAAAATGTGCTACGATGCACATCTCAGAGGAGAACTCACTTCTGGCCTAGTGACACATGCGTTGGTGACTTCCCGTCTTGACTTCTGTAACGCGCTCTACATGGGGCTACCCTTGAAGATGGTCCGGATACTTCAATTGGTTCAAAATAGAGCTGCCAGGCTGCTGACGGGGACTGGACGTTATGTTCACATGACTCCAGTTCTCCGTCAGCTTCACTGGCTTCCCATTGAAGTCCGGGCCCAATTCAAGGTGTTGGTGATGACCTATAAAGCCCCAAACGGCTTGGGTCCTGGTTACCTGAAAGAGTGCTTACATCCATATATGCCCAGCCGCCCCCTGAGATCGGCAGGAGAGGCCCTTCTCCGGGAGCCCTCCGTGGAAGAAGTTAGGAGGGTGGTTACTTGGAGGAGGGCTTTCTCAGCGGTGGTGCCTAAGTTATGGAATGCGCTCCCCAGGGAGGTCCGCCTGGCGCCATCGTTATTTGTTTTTCGGCGCCAGGCAAAGACCTTTTTATTTAAGCAGTATTTTAAATGTTAATATTATTGAATTTTATCTGGCCAGGGCGGTGTGTTTTATATTGTATGTTTTATATTATATATTTGTATTTTAATGTATATATTTTAAAATGTTATTTTAATTTATTGTTGTAAGCCGCCCCGAGGCTTCGGCGAATGGGGCGGCATAAAAATGTTTTAATAAATAAATAAATACATACATACATACATACATAAAATGGGATAAATTCACATCCAAATCCAAATTGATCCCCCCCCCATCCTCCAAAAGAAACCCTAGCAATGACGTCTCGAGCACATCTAATTACGCTGCTGTGCCCTGGCAGCCCATCAGCCTGGGCTGAAGATGATGTTTCGAGAAGCCTCAGCACTCAACCAAGCTGTGCAGAAGTCCAGTGAGAAAAAATCCCAGTTCTTGAAGCAAGAAGCCGGGTGTGGTTCTGGAAGAGCAGGTAGCATTGGGCAGGTGTGGCTCGGAGAGGCAAGGTGCCTTCTCGAAGTACTTGTGTATCAGATGCAATACTCACCAAAGGACTCACTAAACATGCCAGCAGCCAGTTCGCTGCTGGCTGAGAGGGGTGGAGAGTCCCATTGCTGTAAAGCAAGAAGACCAGCGAGATCTAGGCACGGGGCCTGATCCTCACAGTTACGTATACAAATCCCCCATTGATTTCTTTGCGCATTTGTCCTCCTCCATTGCAAAAGGTACTGGTGAATCAAAGTCAAAGACATGGAGTCAAGTGCTTTTTTGGGGGGTGGGGACATGCCCACACCCCAAATTAGGGATCTCTAATGATCCTGATTAAAGCGAGGACCCTGGAATTCATGATGCTCACAGCCGTTGCAGAGACAAATTGCAATGGGGACTGGAGCCTTGTGCAAATGTCTCTCAAACTCTCCGAGGAGAAATCCTCAAAGGTCTCCCTGGAGGAGCAATGGCAACACAGCTCTTTTGTCCTCGGGTTTTTCCCTTTTTGTGCTCCTGCCGGCCAAGACAGCAAACGCCTTTTAGCCTGCCCACCCCTTTCCAGCCCGGAAATGCCCCATAGCGGCCCCATCCCAACTCACTGAATTTTGGAGTGCAGGGACCACCCAAAAATGGATGAAAAGGTGACGTTTTTTCATCCTAGGCTGCCTACTCCCATTTTTGCAGTCAAAGCCTGCATTAAAGACACTTTGAACAAATAAAGGAATAATATTCATTTCCATCTTCAGTCCTAAAATTTCCAGAGGTGTGATGATAAAATAATAGCGATAATCATTATCATCACATTTGCAAACTTGTGAGAAGTCGCAATCGTCTCTTAATGATTCACAGCTGTCTTCACAAACGTGCATTGCTTATTCACAGGGGGGTACGTAGGGGCCAGAATCTGCGGCATAGACTATTTACACCTTCCCCCTCTTTGTCGAGAAAAAGAAAACAGAAGAATTAAAAGAACAAATGGGATTAATATAATTAGCAGGGCCCAGAAAACACTGCGCTTGCACACTTAACGCAAACCAGCTGTGTGGTGAGGGAAGGCTGGGCCTGATTCAGAAACACCCGAGAAGCGGCTGCCGCCTATGGCTGCCCCTCGGTCCAGGATGGTCCAGATACACTGGCCCACACTGGGATTTCTGGGGACGTCGATGGATGAAGAGAGGGTGCTGCCAGAGGTGGGTGAGAACTTGCCAGGATGCCAATGGGCAGCTTTTAAACAAATGTAAATAAATAATGGATAAATTGTGGAGAGCCATTGCGATGTAACAGTTGGAGGGCTGGCGAACGGCCAGAAGGACCTGGCTCGGAGTCCCCACTCAGGCACAACGCTCCCAGATAGCTTTCGAAAACTCACAGGCTCGCCGCCTAACCCAACGCACAGAGTGGTGAGGATAAAATGGGGAAGGGAACCATTATGTAGCCCCCCTCGGGTTCCTTGCAGGAAGAAAAGCTGAGCTATAAAGACAGTAAAACAATAAAAGTGAAGGTGGGAGAAAGGGAGACTGATGCATTCATGCAGTGCCAGCAAACAGGTCTGAATTTTGTTTGCTTCTGCTAAGCAGCTGCTAAAAATCATACGTTTCTTCGTAAACATGACAGGAGGAACTAGGGAGTTAAACATCTGAGTGCAGGAGAAAGCGAAATTAGCAAATCCATTTGTCCCAATGCACCGCCACTGAATGGACACTTCTTCCGACTTGGGTTGCCTCCTCAACGCAGTTGGCCAACCAATTCTATCATCCCCGGCCACATGGACAATGGTTGGACATGAGGGACATAATAACCCGACCCCACCTGGCAGTCATGCTTCTCAAAATCAGGGGAGCTGTCATTTTATCTCATGACGGCAGCTAGAAGTCCTGTGGGAGGTCTCTCCGTGTCATTTTCCCCTGAGCCAAGGGAAGGACAGCTAAATGAGCTTTTCTGTCCAGTGAGACACGCTGGAACTTGGGATGGTGGCCCCAAAGAGACCCTTAACCACGGGCAGTTCAGATGCTCAGCTGCAGCAAGAGCTTCTTAGCAGAACAGATCCAGTGCCACCTAGTCTCCAGCCTCCCAGTTCTCAGAAACACCCAGCTTTGAAGAGCACCTCCACGGCAAAACAAGCTTTTAACTTCAGGGAGCATCACGAGCTACCCAGCATTCCCAAAGGCCAGATCCCGAAATGGGTCCAGAGCCCACCAGACCTACAAATCATGCACCTAACCAAGATTCAGGTTGGATGCCAGGAAGTACTTCCTGAGGGTTGGGACCCCGAGGGTGTGGAATGGGCTTCCACGGGAAGTGGTTGAGGCCCCATCAGTGAGGGTGTTCAAGGGTAGGCTGGACGTCCACATGGTGAGCATGTCGTGAGCGGAGCCGGCTGGAGCTGGGGGTCAGACTAGATGGCCCGGGAGACCCCTTCTGACTCGCTCTGGTTCTATGGTATCCTTTGTTGAGGGCTTGGTAGTTTGGATCTCATGAGGCTGAAGCTGAGGTGGGAATGTGGGGAACCCAGTCCAATGCATTGCATTTCAAGGGTCCCCAAGCCATAGTGACCGTCATGGATTTCCCCATTTCCCTCTCAAGTCACTTCTGAAAGGCTCTGCCCTCGTGTGTAGAGATGAAGGCCTTCTGCCATGCTACCATCTATGAAACTAAATCTCTCAAGCCAGAAAAGGATTCACAGTCCTTGCCATATTTCCCTGGAATGAATCCAGAGCAGAAGATGCTTCCAGAAGCAGGATGGGAATGGAGAATACACGAAGAGGCATGCTGGGAATAGGAAAACGTGGGTGGCTGGTTGGTCAGACGAGTGTCCCCCTTTTAAATGAACTCATGTTCATTTTCATGTCCCATGTTCCATTTGGACTAATGTTTACCCAGGAACAATGGCGAGGTGCATCTTGGGAGCTGTAGTTTGGAACTGCATAGAGTGGCAAGATGCATCGTGTCACCCTGTTAGGCCTCTTTCTGCATGGCTTTACTGGCCTGCAAGGTGATGCCTTGTAACGTTTGCTCGGCATGAAGATGGTCCCTGCACGGCCAGAGCAACGGTGGTGCGACAATGGAAGCAGCTTAGCAAGTTGTTTTGAACCCGATTTTCGGAGGGTCTAGGCAGGCAGGTGGCTGAAGATGCAGGCCAGGGTGTCCGTGTGCTCTTTCAATGCATGTGCCCCCAGACATGCCATCAATTCTGAGCTCGCTAACAAATCCGTAGCACACTGATTGCAGCTTGCTGCAAAGGTGGCGACCAACGAGCCAACTAATTGCAACATTTGGCAGAACCATTGATCTGACATGAGCTGAAGTTCAGAACATCTAGAGGGTAGATGTCTGAAGCAGTGACCTCAGGACAGCACTTCAGGGATCGTGCTGTTTCTGCCCCAAAGAATTCCCCGTGTCGCAACGTTCTCACACACTGGAGAAATGCCTGAACCGTTCTGCCTGGATTCTCATGACTGGATTCTCCTGGACTTACCGTGAAGTAGTAGAACTGGGAGGATTTGGCCATGAACTCCGGCTTGCATTCGGCCACGCAGATGTCCACATTTCCGGCGTGCTGGCTGAGTTTGGCCTCGCCCATCTCGCACACTATTCTAGAAGGAAAGTGAAAGGCATTCCAGAGGTGAGCATTGCCTTCAGCACCTGGAATCAGCGAAGTGGAGTGAGGACTGCAGGCCTGCTCAGGACCAAAACAGGGACTGGGGAACTCAAGGCAGGAGGACGGGCTTCATGAATGGGGGGACCTCCTGTCCTTGCAGATAAATGTTAAGGGGATAACAGTCACCCTATTGGCAGGGGTCCATCCTTGAGCTCCCTTTCCTTCCACAGGGAAGCTGATGTGGAGCATTGCAAGCTGCAGAATTCCCCAGACTCAACTCCATTAGCCAGCTTTGAGAAATCGCAGGTGGGCCCAGCTTGAGCCGGGTGACCATCAAACCCCGAGAGCCACCTTGCCTCCGTTGCAGAGCTGGGTGCTTCCTGGTGGGAGTGCAGGGGCTTCTGTCCTGGACACCAAGGTCTTGTTGAGTTGGGAAGCAGCAGGGACCGTGCCCTGTGGTGAAAGTGTCATGGCTCCCCACTGGTACAACTTAAGTCAGAGGTGTGGAACTCAGGCCTGTGGGCCAAATCCACTCCACCTACAGTGCCAATAAGTTCCTGTAAGAGTTCCTAGATGCCCATGGTCTTCTCCTGACCCAGCCCCCTTTCCCTACAACCACTGGTTGGTGGTTGGATTCTTGGATATGAACCCCACTGCATGTAAAATTTTCACATAAAACGTGTGAACAACACCTGGCAGGAGACCGCGCCCGCGCCCGAGAACCGCACCGCGCCCAAAGACCGCGCCGCGCACGCGCCCGAAGACCGCGCGAAGACTGCGCCGCGCCGCCGACTCCGCCGCTACCTGACTGCCCTGCCACGCCCCTGCACACGTGGCAGGTGTGCCCGGACGGGGTGGGGCGTCGGGTGGCCGGCGGCTACAAAGTGCTGCAGGGGGGAGTGCCGGCGGGAGGAACAACACCTGGCAGGAGACCGCGCCCGCGCCCGAGAACCGCACCGCGCCCAAAGACCGCGCCGCGCATGCGCCCGAAGACCGCGCCGCGCACGCGCCCGAAGACCGCGCGAAGACCGCGCCGCGCTGCCGACTCCGCCACTACCTGACTGCCCTGCCACGCCCCTGCACGCGTGGCAGGCGTGCCCGGACGGGGTGGGGCGGCCGGCGGCTACAAAGCGCTGCAGGGGGGAGCGCCGGCGGGAGGAACAACACCTGGCAGGAGACCGCGCCCGAAGACCGCGCCGCGCACGCGCCCGAAGACCGTGCGAAGACCGCGCCGCGCTGCCGACTCCGCCACTACCTGACTGCCCTGCCACGCCCCTGCACGCGTGGCAGGCGTGCCCGGACGGGGTGGGGCGTCGGGCAGCCGGCGGCTACAAAGCACCGGCAGCGGCCGGGGCCGGCGGCCAAAGGGCGTCGGCCAAAGGGCGGTTTGCCGCCGTTTGGGGGGGCTGTTCGGGGGGGGGCTAGGCTGGCCAGGGGACTTGCTCTTTTGTTGTGGCAGTCCCTTCTGTTGAACGGCCAATTTTAAATGTTTTATAATTTTAAAGTGTTTTAACTTGTTTTTATGGAGTCGTCCCTGGCCATGTTGCCGCCTGAGTTTCCTGGGGAGCGCACTGGCGCCGCCATTGGTGTGGTGATGGGCAATGGATGTAATAGCGGTGGGGGCTTAACGTGTCCGCATAGAAGAAGGAGGGACAGATGGCTGACACCTGTCCCTACTTCTGGTTTTGCTCCCAGCCAGAAGGTGCCAGGGAGTCTTGTCAGTCGCCCCTCGGGCCTGACGGTGCTGTTGTTTAATGCCAGGTCGGCCAATAACAAATCTGCCCTCATCCATGACTTGATTGTGGATGAGGGGGCCGACCTGGCCTGTATAACGGAGACCTGGGCGGGAGAGGGGGGGGATGTTGCCCTCTCTCAATTGTGCCCGCCCGGGTATATGGTCCAGCACTGTTCACGGCCGGAGGGGAGGGGAGGGGGGGTCGCTTTGGTTTACCGGGCCTCCATCACTCTCACGGGACTTCCTGTCCCTTCGAGACCAGGGCTGGAGTGTCTCTACTTGGTGTTGGGCGACCGAGACAGATTGGGGATTCTGTTGGTGTACCGTGCACCCTTCTGCCCAACAGTCTCCCTGCCTGAGCTGACGGAAACGGTCTCGGACCTGGTGTTGAGGACCCCCAGGATGCTGGTCCTGGGGGACTTCAATATCCATGCCGAGGCTAGTTTGACCGGGGCGGCTCAGGACTTCATGGCTTCCATGACGGCCATGGGGCTGTCTCAACATGTCACCGGCCCGACCCATGAACGTGGACACACTCTGGACCTGGTTTTCTCGATGGGGCAGGAAGAGGGTGGTCTGAGGGTGAGGAATTTATGCTTGACTCCCCTGTCATGGTCAGATCACTTCCTAGTGAGGTTTGTGCTCGAGAGCGACATCTCCCTCTGTAAGGGTGCAGACCCGATTGTGTGGGTCCGCCCCCGGAGCCGGATGGATCCGGAAGGATTCCTGAAGGCTCTGGGGGAGTTTCCGGCTGACAAGACGGGTGCTCCTGTTGAGGCTCTGGTTGAACTGTGGAATGGGGAGATGACCAGGGCTGTAGACACGATCGCTCCTAAGCGTCCTCTCCCACCGGGCAGAGCCCGCTCTTCCCCTTGGTACACTCCAGAATTGAGGGCAATGAAGCAGGTTGGGAGACGGCTAGAGCGTAGGTGGAGGAAATCACGTGATGAATCTGACCGAACACACTTAAGAGCCCACTATCGGGCCTATGCTGTGGCGGTGAGGGTGGCGAAAAAGAGACACTTCTCCGCTTCCATTGCCTCCTCACAATGCCGTCCGGCGGAGCTCTTTCGAGTGGTGCAAGGCCTGGTTCACCCAGGGCCAAAGGAAGAGCTGATTCCACCCTCAAAGGCCCGCTGTGACGACTTTGCCGAGCATTTTAGGGAGAAAATCGCTCAGATTCGTCACGAGCTGGATTCCACTATTGATTCAGAGGTTTTAAGGGAGACACCAACGCTGCCGTCTGGTCCAGAATTATTGGATGAATTTCAGTTATTGCGGCCCGATGATGTGGACAAGGTGCTTGGACGAGTACGTCCTACCACTTGCCTTCTGGACCCTTGCCCGTCTTGGTTAATAAAGGATTCCAAGCACGGGATTGGAACCTGGATCTTGGAAGTGGTTAACGCTTCTCTGAGGGAGGGTCGGGTGCCTGCCCCTTTAAAGGAGGCGGTAGTCCGACCGGTCCTGAAGAAGGCGTCACTGGATCCAGGGATGGCCGCTAACTATAGACCAGTGGCCAACATCCCGTTTCTGGGCAAGGTGTTAGAGCGAGTGGTGGCGGGACAACTCCAAGCACTCTTGGATGAAACTGATTATCTGGACCCATTTCAGTCCGGCTTCAGACCCGGGTACGGTACTGAATCTGCCTTGGTCGCCCTGTACGATGACCTGTGCAGGGAGAAGGACAGGGGGAGTGCGTCCCTGTTGGTTCTCCTGGACCTCTCAGCGGCTTTCGATACCATCGACCATGGTATCCTTCTGGATAGGCTGGCGGGATTGGGGGTCGGAGGCACCGCTTTGCGGTGGTTCCGCTCCTATCTCAACGACCGATTCCAGAAGGTGGTGTTGGGGGACTATGGCTCTGCGCCATGGCAGCTTTGCCATGGGGTACCGCAGGGTTCCATTTTGTCCCCTTTACTGTTCAATATCTACATGAAACCGCTGGGAGAGGTCATCAGGAGGTGTGGGCTGCGGACCCATCAGTATGCTGATGATACCCAGCTCTACCTCTCGTTTTCCACCAATCCAGGTGAGGCAGTGGCTGTACTGAACCGGTGCCTGGCCGAGGTAATGGGCTGGATGAGGGCCAATAAACTGAAGCTCAATCCAGACAAGACGGAGGTCCTGTTGGTTGGCGGTTCGGGCTTCGGAGAAGGTGACCTGAACCTTGTCCTGAATGGGGTTGCACTCCCTCCTAGGGACAAGGTCCGCAGCTTGGGAGTGCTCCTCGACCCGGAGCTTTCACTTGAAGCTCAGGTGACAACAGCAGCGAGGAGCGCTTTCCTCCAGCTTCGGCTGATTCATCAGCTGCGCCCCTACCTGGAGTACGACTGCCTTGCAACAGTGACTCATGCGCTGGTGACTTCCCGTCTTGACTTCTGTAACGCGCTCTACGTGGGGCTACCCTTGAAGACGGTCCGGATACTTCAATTGGTTCAGAATAGAGCTGCCAGGCTGCTGACGGGGACTGGACGTTATGTTCACATGACGCCAGTTCTCCGTCAGCTTCACTGGCTCCCCATTGAAGTCCGGGCCCAATTCAAGGTGTTGGTAATGACCTATAAAGCCCTAAACGGCTTGGGTCCTGGTTACCTGAAGGAGCGCTTACATCCATATTTGCCCAGTCGCCCCCTGAGATCGGCGGGAGAGGCCCTTCTCCGGGAGCCCTCCGTGAGAGAAATTAGGAGGGGGGTTACTCGGAGAAGGGCTTTCTCAGCGGTGGCGCCTAAGTTATGGAATGCGCTCCCCAGAGAGGTCCGCCTGGCGCCGTCGTTATTTGTTTTTCGGCGCCAGGCTAAGACCTTTTTATTTAAGCAACATTTTAAATGCTAAATACAATTGAATTTTATCTGGCCAGGGCGGCTTATTTTATAATGTGAGTTTTAATTAAGATTATTTTATATGGATTTTAACTTGTTTTATCTATGTTGTAAGCCGCCCTGAGGCTTCGGCGAATGGGGCGGCATAAAAATGTTTTAATAAATAAATAAATAAATAAATGTTTCTCCTAAAACTTAATCAAAAACACGATGAGCTAAATTATGCTGGCATTTTGATACATCCACTTTGTCTTTTGTCCCAGCTCCAGTCTAATCCAAGTCCCAAAAGGTTCTCCAGCATGGAATTTGGCCTTTGGGCCAAAAGGGATTTGATAGCCACATCTCGAGTTGGGGCGCTATCCAGGGTGCTGAAAGCCATCCTCACAATAGCTTACCCTCCACAGAGAGCCAAGAAAAGCTTGTATAAAGTACAGAATGAACACTGCATTGGGTGAGCAGCCCCACTGAAGCGGGCACCACCAGCTTTCCCTGCCTGAAGTCCTACACCTGCAAGGACCACCTGGGTGTGAGCAGGGCACGGCTGGTGGTCCCAAGACTCCTTCTGCTCCCCCCTCAGATGTGCACCTGCTCACACTTACTTGGTTTGATCTCAGGATCATCAAATAGTGGGAAATGAATGCACACCTTCTATTTCAAGGTTCCATAATCAAACCAAGCATGGCAGAACATGGAGGGCAGCATCTTGCAAACCCCTGCAGAGCAATCCACCTTCACGCTTGCCCTTGAAGAACGTCTCTGCTGTAAGCCCAGTGTGCTCATGCACTGGATCTTCAGAAGCAGCTCTGGCCCTCTCAGTCGTGGGGGGGGGGTGCCTCTCCCTACCTCCATGCCATCTCATTCCAGTGGTCTGAGGCTAACAAGACGGGATGGGCTGCAGCCCCCCAAAGCTGTCCCATGGCGGCAGGCATTCCGTGCCTGCAGCCCCCCAAAGCTGTCCCATGGCGGCAGGCATTCCGTGCTCCCTCCCTGATGGGAGGGCAAGATCCCCCCCTGGCCTGCAGCCCCTACTTACTGCTCTGCCGGGATGTAGCCTTCCACCAGGGGAACGCACTCCACGCCGGCGACGCGGACACGCGATGCAATGTCCCGGAACTCGAGGCCCAGATTCTCTCCCCGGATGGTCACCCTCGTCCCGCCTTCTCGGGGCCCTCTTACCGGGGAGATCTAGGGGAGCAAGGAACTTCTTAGAAAAGCTGAAATGCAATGGAATGAAAGAGAGGGAAATCTCGCTGTTGACGATGATGGTGAGGGGGATGCGGAGCTTTTCCACAAAGAGGGACACGGCTGCTTCCTCCAAGAGGCCCGGCTCTGCCTGCTTCCCAGGTGATTCCTATTGGGATGTGTGAATTAGCAATGCTTATATTTGCCCGGCTTCTCCAAAATCCATCTTGGAGCTCATTCTGAGTCCAGTCTACATCAGATTATGAGCTTCTTCTTTCTTATTTGCTTGCTCACTTGCTTGCTTGCTTTCTGCATGAAAATCCATGGGTATTTTGTGCATCTTTTTTCAACAGCACACATCAATTGGATGCATCTTTGGAAGAACCATCGGACTTCAGTTTGCCACTTCGGATGTTGGAGCCCAGTTTCTGACCTTGGTATGGGAATCTGATACTATATCTAGGGGCTACAGGATCACTTTCAAAGCTTATATAATCTAAAACCTGGTTTGCTCATAGAACTGCATTTTTTAAATCATTTATTTATTTAGATTTTGTTATGAACCCACATACACACACAATTCCCAAAGGCTCTGAGCAGTTTACAACTCAACTCAGTGAATGTCTCATTATTTTGGGATAAAATACCCTTTTACCTTTCATATACGTAGTTTTATGAGCAAGCCCGACATGTCTTTCTCAATTTCTCAATTTATTTATTTCCATTTGTATGCCACTACAATAACTTATACCTTGGCTCTCTGTGCCAGTTGCAACAATTAAAACAAGACAACATTCTAAGATCGATCACATTAAATCTACTTATTCAAAACATATTAACATATCAAAATGTTAAACTATAATACATCAACATTAAAATATTACATACAATATTTTGAATATCAAGGTGCAAACTTGTACATATTTACTCCGAAGTAAGCCCCAGTGAGCTCAACAGGGCTTATTTCCAGGAATGTGTGTATAGGATTGGAGCCGGAATGTAAGCCATACTTCTCAAAGAGTTGATCATGGGATGAGGCTGCAAAAAGGGCGAGTGCTATTTTAGGCTGCTTTAATAAAAGAATCACTTCCAAACCGGGTGAAGTACAAGCCCACCCTTTATGCAGCGCAGCTGGAGTGCTGTGCCCTGTTTTGGGCAGTGGACGTCCAGTGCTTCATCCAGTTTATGTCTGTCCAGAGAGGCCTTCTGCAAACACCTCACATGCTCTTCTGTTACCTCTGCTGGCAACAGACGGATGACCTACAGCTTGTTTTTTCACAGATGTGTTTAAGCCAGCCCCGCATCAATCGACAGCCACAGTAACTAGCCAGAACAAGCCAAAGATGCATAGGATTTTGTTGAACTGAACCCAAAGAGTCAAGACTGCCTGTTTTCATCCATAAGACGACATGGTGACTCTACTCACATGCTGGGAAATTGAGCATGACTTTCAGCATGTCTGCTAAAAGATACAAGCAGTCAGGAATATTAGCGAGGGCTGAAAAAACGTATCTATGCTGAGAATCTGCGAGAGGATTAAAACACCCGCATTTGCCCCATAGCTTCATTATTTCCAGACACTTGCCATCTCTAGCCTTTCTGTAAAAATATGTAGCTTTTAGATGACATTCGGGAGAAAGTAAAGGCTGTGTTACAATTTATTAGTGTGTTGTCTTGAATTCTGAAAAGGAAGCAGTTCATAATCCAAAAATGTTCAGCTTTTGCACTGTTTCGGGGGGGGGGAAAGGGCTGGGGGAGGGGGATTTTTTTCTCCAGAATTTTTCGGACACCTTTCCCAGCTCTAAGGGCAGGTGCCAGCTCCCATATGATGCCTTCCCAGAGCCTGGAAGGGCTCTCCTCAGGCTGTGGCCATTGGATCTCTGGGACCAGGAGGATGTAACAGGGCTTCCTATTCACGTGTCTTGGGCCACCCATCCTTCCTGGATCTCTGGTTTTCCTCCGGTCCTGGAGTGCTCTGACTTGCCCTCCAGGTTTGCATGCAGAGGGCTCACCCCAGACTGAAAGAACAGCCATGGACGGCACTGGCTGGCCTCAGAAATGGGTCAGAACCAGATGGGAGAACCAGAGATTCTGGAGCCCACTGGACTGTCCAGCCTTCATCCCAAAGCTCTGTTTGGCCTCTCTGTAACCGGTCTGCCCCACCTCACTGGGGGGGGTGAGGAAAGTAGGCCTTTCTAAGGGGAAAAGAAGCATGCTTTTAACAAGGGTGCATTTGTAAAAGCATGTGTTTCCTAATGTGTGCATTTAATAAACACGCTCATTTTCAATCCACGTTCCCACCCAGAGTTGCCAATGGATTATTCTTACTGCTTGGGAAACTGGGATGCAACTCTCACAAAATTTCAGACAGCTTTCTTGTCCCTGCCTTTTCCAGAAATTCCTTTTTGAGAGATCTGCAAACAGGATTCCAATATGGCCACACCAAAGATTTATGTTAAGGCATTATCATGTTGGCCCTTTGAGGGCTTTGTTTTTCATTTTTTTCCAGCCTTTCTTAAAAACCCCCAATCTGGATTATGACTTTTTCACTGCTTACTGAGCACTGAGTCAACATTTCACGGGGTTACCACAACCCCAAGAACTCCAGTTCCAATCTTATCTGCATATGTGTGACGTTAACTGCATACCAAGATGCATACACACCATGTAATCTGTTTTGAAAGCTTTTCCCTATCAGCATGCCCCCAAATCATGAGCACTTTAATAATGTGGGTCTGGAAGTGACTAAATCTCACGTTGAGTCTCACAGCCAGATTGAAAACACATTTACTCAGTAGCCAGTTTTCTTAGGATTGCCCGAGTTTGCTTTGGAGTACTTCCTTTGTGTGTAGGCACACTATTCCCTTGGTTTGCGTTGCGCTGAAATAGACTTTCCAGGTTGCTGGTATGTTTGCAAGACCTGTTTGACCAGGCAGTAAGTATATGAAGACAGATGGTTTTGATTGCAAGCGATCTTGAGGTTGTCATGTTCAGCTCCGAACCACAAATGAACGCTGCTCAGCATCGCGCCCTGTCTTTTCTGTCAGCCTTCCAGAAGTTCTGCCCTGGAGCTCAGTCAAGACAGTCTTGGTTTCAGTGCAGCCTTCTGGAAACTTGAGAATGCAGGCGTCACCCCTGGTGGAAATGCAAGGCGACACAAGGGCTGGGGCGGAATGAGGCTGTTTGGCTTCCGCTGAGCTGTCTGGCAGTGCATGGGAAACGCAGCTAAGTCAGCCTCAGTCCCCCGGGTCTTCTTCGGAGACATCAGCAGTGATTCTCCTGAAATCATGGCATCCTACCATGGATCTGCAGCCCAGACAGTCCCTAATTGCTCTCCGCATCGGAGACTTTGATGGAAAGTAAACAGAAGGTAATCCATGAAGCAGTAATTTACGCCGAACACAAAGCACCCCACGAGATCCAGCTCACAGTGACTCACACGGCAAAGACGAGCCACAACAGAGGAAGCTGCCTGTGTTGGCTTGATAGCATGAAGGGTCACTGTGGCTGGACTCTTGTCAAGGGCTTTGTATATTTGCATCTCTTCTTCACTGCTGCAGCTTACCTGTCCACCTATCTGCCCCTCAGCCCAGTGAGGAAACAGTGATGGTGCGAAAGACTGGATGCAGATGCTGTTTTCTTGCCAGGTGAGCAGTTGCAAGTAGAGATAAGGAAATTGTAGAGGTGCAACAGGACCATGATGGTGAGAAGGCAGCCTCACTGAGAAGAAGGCTATGGAGGGAGTCTTGCCCCCAGAAAAGTTGGACTGATATGACACAGCAGAGAGGAATCTCGGAGGTAGCAAGACTTCTGCTTGATAGAGGGCTTGTCTGAAGTATGGGGGATAAGAAATTCCTTGTTTTCACTTGTTCATGCCAACTTCACAAATCCTTATTTCCTAAAAGCTAAGCATGGATCACAGTGCCTTTGCCACTTAAACCTGTGCGGTTTTGAAGCTTGCAATGCAGTTTGTGCAAAGATGCCAGAAGCCTACAAAATAATGCATACATTTTGATGGATGTGCACGAAAAGGTGGACATTCCAAAAGATCAGACAAAGGCAGTTTTCTTTGAGAAAGGCAGGAATGTGTCTAGGTCAGGAGAAGCACGCAGAAAATGGTGCATTTAAGAAGTACTGCATAAAGAGAGGCACAAAAAAAAGAAAAAGAAAAAGAAAGCACAAGCATACCTGTGAAGGAACAAAGAAATCATAAATGGATGTGAAAATGAGACAGCTTGTGCCGCAAAGTGGAAAGCCGAGCTCCGGAAAATTGGGCTGGGCAGATCTTCTCATCCAAGAATGATGGGAAATTAAGGGATTCCTTACTGAAAGATCAGGGTGGACAATTTCTGGGTCCCTTGGGGGCTGTACTTTCCCTTCAACAACTCAACTTGCTGCCACCATTTGGGATTCTGCAGCCAAAATTCTGCTCCGATTAGGATGTCCGTGGCCCAGAAGCCTTGTTTTTAAGGAATGTCACCACTTCTTTGGTGGCTGTAGGCAGCGGGGATGGTGTTGGCCAGAAGAAAACATGGTGTCTGTTGGCCATAAGATGCCCACCACTGACCTAGGCAGAAGCTTCCTTAAGTGCCGAAGGGATGGATAAGGCAGGGGAATGCCGCAACACTTACTTCCGTGATCTTGGGATTCGTGCACTTGCTCCCTGTGGCCGAGAGCTCCAGCCACCGGTTCTCCAGAATCGGGCAATGGTGCTGCAGGGTGCACTGGTTCAGGTCTTCACACCAGCCGCATTCGTAGTCCGGGTCTGCCTTCAGGCACAAGCCACAGCTGTCGCGCATCGCTCCGCATTTGTACAGGTGGACTGTTGGAGAAGACAAGACAGGTATCCTTAGGAGTGCAGGTCTGGCTGAGACAGGCAGGGGTGAGAGGGAGGGAAAACACGGCAGCTGCGGGTGTTGCGAGCCCGGTGTCCCCTCCCAGGCAAGACCGTTTCTCCAGCACTCCTCGCAAGAGTCTTTCTTCTACACGGAGAACTAGAAGCATTCGCAAGCCGCTGAGCCTACACAGGGAGATGTGTTGGCCCCTCCCCACCCCCCTTCACCCAGAGCTTTGCTTATGAACCCTTTGGGGCCGGTCTCGGGAAGGAGGGGCACTGTGGAACCAGGTGTGCCTGTGTTCTGCACTTTGAGACCCTAATTCAAAAAAAAATTAAGACATGATTAATGTTTTATTTTTTTTACATTTTGTATTGTTAAATGGTCCCCAGACTTCAATAATGGGACTGTCTAGAAAAGTTTTAAATAAATAAATGGACGACGGACCCTCAGGTCCATGTCTTCAGGAGGCCAGCGTTCTCCGTCCAAGAGATACCCATTTCCAAATCTCCCGTCCCCTCCCTCTGCTCCATTCCCACAGGAGGGGAGACTGGGCCCCGTGGGTGTCCTTGAGCCGCCTTCATCCAAAGCAGGCTCGGACTGGTACCACAACACTTCCATTATCCTCCTCTGGCTTGGCCAGCTCCACAACGTCCTCAGAGTCTGAGCTCTCAGTCCCACCAAAGCAGGCCGTTTCTCACGCACGCCTGGGAATCTCGTCAGAGCGCAAGACAGGTGGCGTCTCCGGCCTAATTGTTTATCTAGTGTGTCCAATGCCCATTTAAGGACATGAAATGATATTCTGACTTCAAGGACACTTTGGACCCATGGGAATGTGAGAAACGGCTGGGTGCCATCACCAAAAAGGCCTTGCAGAGGGCATGGCCATCCCATAATGGCTGTTGTGGCGGCCCGCTTGCAAAGCATAAGCTGCAGATGTGGAGGAAGGAAATCATGAGGCTAGAGGGAGGGAAAAATAGCAAGGCAAAGTGGAAGAGAGGAGAGGAGAGAAGGAGCAAGGCGAGAGGCTACGGGCGGCCAAAGGAGGGATGTTCGAGAGGGCCAGCGTTCTCTGAGCATCACATCACAGCTTGACTCATTCCCAGTTCCTGGTCACGTTTGTGACAGCTTCTCACTCTGACTGGATGGGAAACCTGCACAAATCCAGGAGTGGGAGAGGGAAGTTACATAAATCTCCCATACTTTATTTATTTATCTATAAAATTTCTGTGAGTTAGTTACACTCAGTGCTTATCGATGTCAGCAAGACTTCAGCGAAACCACGAGTGAGTGACTTACCACAATCCCACGAGGGTCTACTCTGAAGTAGTCCTTACTGAGTGCAATGGGATTTACTACCAGGGAGTGAGCACTGGGGCATTTCCTCAGTTCAAATCCACGTCATCTTTTTTAACAATTGGGTTTACAGTTGCCTGTTTTGGGGTTCTTTTGTCTCAAAATGGGGTAAGCGTTTGGTGGATGTGTGTGAAGGGGGCAGAGAGAACCTCACCCCACCAAATTTCAAGGTCGAGGGTGACATTTGGGTGTGGTGTTATACTTAAAATGCGCAAAGCAGCCCTTCCAGAAGTCCCCAGTTCTGCGCCATGCAGGCGTTGCCCCTCTCCCGGAAGTTCTGATGTGCCGATCTCCAATATTCCTTCTATCCCCTATTCCATTTTTGGAATAGTGAAACGGAGGAGAGCGATTTGGCCTGGCTTTATTTCTGAGCATTGCACTATAAAGTGTATTTTGGAGGCAGAGATGCAGAGGAAGAGAAGAGAAGGGGAAATATCCAAAGCAGCAGCAGAGACGACGACAACAACAACCTCACCTGTGGGTCTTCTCCCCTCAACTAAGCCTTCAAACTAAGCTCTTTCTCATGTTCAGGCTGACCAGCCAGGCTGACTTTGTCATACAAAAGAGTGTTGCAGAAACCAGTAACCAAAGACAGAAGCAAAATTAGAATATGGGTTATGAAGGAAATGTGGCTTGAGGACACAAGGATGATTCCCAGCTGACTGTGTCTTCTCCTTCCCAAACCCAAAGGAGCTTCCTCCACCTTCAGGATCATTTTTCTGCTTACGGCCAGTCTCCCAGAACATCTCATGCTTCTTGGTTGGCCTGCCTTTTTTATCTGATGGACATGCATGGGGACCAATGACATTTAGCCCACCCTCACTCCTCTCTGACTGCTCCACAGAGTTTCCCACAGAACCTGAAGCTGCTTGGCTACGTGGGGCACTTGTCCTATCTTGAGACAGATGCCTGGGCATTTCAGCAAAGCCTTCCGATCCTGCCTCTGCTTCCAGTTCTTATTCAGGATCTGAGTCAACAACCTTTGAAGGCTGCATGGCAGAAGTGGGTCCACCCTTTAATAAGGACAACCCGTTGTTCGTAAGCGGATTTGGGTGCTGTGTGGCTGGCAAAGAACACGGCTTGTGCCTTCACACACGCAAAGAAACCAACAAAATGCCGGGGCTCTGGTCTTCCGGACCCATCTGAGCTGAGCTGCTGAGAGCAGAACCTGGAAAATGGGCAAGCCCAGTTACATGCACAGTTGAGGGACTTTAATTTCCAGGTGAAAAGAGAGAGAGGGAGAGGAGACGAGGGAGAGAGGAAGAGAGAGAGAGAGAGAGAGGGAACAAAAATTAGTAATTTGCAGAGAACATAAATAAAGCCCTGTGGTAGATGGCAAAGGGAAGCAGCGACGGCTTTGTTAGGAGCATGGAGTGATGCGGCCTGTTGCTAAGGTTACCACTTCCAAGGACAAGTTGAAATGATTCTTTACCTTTGTTCTGTGCTGGGTTGTCAATGTTGAAATTCCCATTCCACACAACTGTCAACTCCACTGGCAGGCTGTTAATCTCCATCCCATCATAAGAATACTAAAAATAGGGGTGCAAAATACAGGATGAAACAACAACAGCAGCAGCACCACCAGCAACCAAGATTCACACCTGCTGCTCCAACTACTGGAAATGGTGTGGCTTTGCAGGTGTTGCGCATTCCCACACACACACAGAGATGCACACGCATCCTCCAGGGGCTCCCACCTTCCATAGGGTTTCCTGATAGGCTGGATCTCAGATGGAACCTATTTTCTTGACGCCATGAGTAAAGAACATGCAGGAGGAGGAAGCACAGATCTTTCTGTCCTCTCCCCTTTGGTGGAAACCCGCGCATGGTCTGGGGACACATAAAACAGCTCCTTGCTGAAGCTAAGTGGACCTGGGTCTGGTCAAGACATGGGTGGACACCACTATGCATGTGCTTCATCTGGAGTTCTACACTGGGAGATATAAATTCACTAAATATAGCAATCAGCGCTTTCTAGAAGGTTTCAGTAGCTGTGCTAGGCTTGGCCCGAAACCTAGCCAGAGCCATCTCTCTGCAGTTTGTGGAATTTGCTCCTGGGCCCAGCCTGGTTTGCAAAATGAGCCAGGCAAGACATTGCTTGAGATGCATTAACAGAAGTATTACTTCCAAATCATAAGGAGGAGGAGTTCCTCTATATTCCTTACTAGTCAGACCTCACCTGGAATTGTGTCCAGTTCTGGGCACCAAGATTTAAGAAAGTTGCAGATAAATTTGAAAGAGTCCAGTGGAGGGCAACAAAAATGATCCAGGGTTTGGAAACACTGCCCTATGAGGAGAGACGGAGAGAGCTGGGCATGTTCAGCCTTGAGAAGAGAAGGCTGAGGGGGGCAGGAGATCCCTCTATAAGCACCTCAAAGGCAATCACAAAGAGGAAGGCCAAGATCTCTCCTTGCTGATGCCAGAGTCCAGGACTTGTGACAACCCAGGTTCAGGCTGGACATCAGGAAGAACTTCCTCACAGTCAGAGCAACACTGCAGTGGGACCAGCTGCCTGGAGAGGTGGGGTCCCTCCCACAGTGGAGACATCCAAGAAGAAACCGGGCAGCCCTCTGAGTGGGATGGTGTCACTTGATGTCCTGCAACAGCAGGGGCTGGACCTGATGGCCTTCTTGGCCCCTTCCCACTCTACCTTTCTATGATTCTAAGACGTCTGTGAATATCCATGGAGTGAAGTTTGCAAATCCGGCAGGCTTCTTCTGTACCGTTAACAGCGGCTGCCCATGATGCAGACGAAGGACCTGGGGCTCCACCCCTGCTGAGCCCAGCACAACCCATCTTCTGGGTGTGAGGGCCAGGAACTGGGACTCAGGGCCACTGCAAAGTGGGCTGGAATCTGGGGAGCTGAGCCCCAAGGAGCTGATGGTTTCGCAGCCCCAGTACAAAACCCGCCATATTTTTAGCAGTGAGCAGGTAGGTTTCTTTGTGTGGCTGCAAGCATGGAGCCCACTCAGCAGTGTGGACTGAGAGTTCTAGTGGTGCAGGAGAATTTTAAGTTCATTTATGAACAGCATTCACCCCATGCTGGAATTTTAAGTTTCAACTTGTTTGGGACCACTAACTAAGGAGGAAGGAGATCCAGTGACTGATGTGAGGGAACAGGCACAGATGCTAAATGGCTATTTTGCCTCTGTGTTCTCCCCAAAGCAGGACGGGGGAGATCCGCATAGGAGATTAGATGAGGCTGGGGACTTAGGGGCACAGATTAGAGTCACCCCCCTTGAAGTCGAGGGGCTCCTCAGGGCACTGGGTCTCTTCAGCCTGGAGAAGAGGAGACTCAGAGGGGATCTGTTGGCCACATACAGGTATGTGTGGGGGTGTCACATGGAGGTGGGTAGAGACCTGTTCTCCCCTGCAGAGGAAGGCAGGACCCACTCCAAGGGAGCCAAGCTCAGGAACCAAGGTTCCATTTAGATGCCAGGAAGCACTTCCTGGCAGTTAGGACCCCTGGGGTATGGAATGGGCTTCCACGGGAGGTGGCTGAGGTCCCATCGGTGCGGGTGTTCAAGGACAGGCTGGACATGCACATGGTGGGCATGTCGTGAGCGGAGCCGGCTGGAGCTGGGGGTCAGACTAGATGGCCCGGGAGACCCCTTCTGACTCGCTCTGTTTCTATGTTTCTATTCTACCCTCCTGTGGAAAACACACGCTGCATATCCTGACCTTGCAGCACTGTTTGGGAGAGGGAGTGGAGGATGTGTTTGGAAACTGCTTCTTTAAAAAGCAAGGCATGCTTCTTTAAAAAGTGCGAACAAAATGCCTGAAACAGTGGGAGAAGATTGCATAATTTTGAATGCAAACACGTACCCAAGTATGCCCTGATGGGCACATACTTCATATGCATAGTTTCTGATTGTGCACAAATTTGAAATTTATTTACATGTATTTCTAGGCAGCTTATCATTGCTGAGGCCTTCCTAGAAATGAAGCCATTGCTTTCCCATCAAATAAAGCCAGTGTGTGCTGAGGCTTAGCTATGGGAAGGAAGTTCTGTAGGCTGAAAAGTGTATTTCTGGAATTCAGGGCTGGTCCACAGCTTGAGCAAGACATGCAAATACATGAAACGAAACATCAGCCGCTGGTGTGGACACACACATGTGTTTCAATGAAAAGCAGAGTTGCGAGGCTATGTCTTTGATCAAAGGAACGCCAGTAGGAAGGATGCTTAATGTTTTCCCAGCAGCCATATTACTGCTCAAAATCCCCCATGTACTTTTCTCCTACACTGGTTCAGGTTGTGCCATTAACCTCATAAACATGTATTTGGAATTGCGGGGAGGAGGGAGAGGAGCTCGAGGGAACTGTGTAACAAGAGAAACAAGCATCATCGAAAACTTTTTGCTCAGCTGAGTCGATCTTTTGCCCTCTCCTCTCATCTCCTCTTTATTTTCAAAAAACTCCAGATCCTGCTACAAGCTTTTGCTTGCAATGCGTCATATTCTCCTTGGTGCAATTTGGCTCGGAGAACCTCAAATTCCAACCCTTGGGCAGAGGAGAAGTCCCTCTCTGTGAATTTGCATGCCGCTGTGGGTTCCCCTGTTCGCTCAGATTTCTGCCCACTGTATTAGAGTTCACTGAATCGCAGGGCAACTTCCCATTAAGCAAATTAAATGCAATTAGCGGGTAGGTGGCAGGTCTCCATGGTCTCTACCACATTGTTACATTGGATCTTGGTTTGTTTGCTTGTTTATCTGCCTCGGGGTGGTTATTCTGGATCTGAAAGGCCCTTCCTAGATTCAGGGCTCGTCGTTGCCACATCTCATGAAGAGAAACAGCATTTTCATGACACTCCGGTGTATAATTGTAAGACACTGAAAATGGGAAGCACATGCATTTATGACACGTTCATTGGGAAATTCTTCTTCCGCCATATTGTTTAGCAGAGCACATGGAGGGCGAGTGCTAAATGCTGACTCCAATGTTCATGGGCTGGTCTTATTGCTGTTATGGGCTGTCAGGTCATGGGCAACTTCGGTGATCCTATGAAGGAAGCCCTCCAAAACGGCCTGCCCTGCACAGCCCGGCTCAGCCCCTGCGACTCAAGGCTGCGGCTTCCTCGGTGGAGTCAACCCATCTCTTACTTGGCCTTCCTCTCCTTCTTCCGCCTTTGACTTTCCCCGGCTTGATGGTCTTCTCCAGGGAGTCTGGCCTTCTCACGGTGTGCTCGAAGAACGACAGCTTCGGTTGCGTCTTTTTTTTCTTCCACGGAAAAGTTCTGGCTGGATTTGACTGGGGACCCCCTTGTCCATCTTCTCTTGGTCCATAGTATTTTCAAAGCTCTCCTCCAGCTCCATGTTTTAAGTGTATCCATTTTCTTCACTGTCTAGTTTCCACACCCATAGATGGGAATACAGCCATCCTGGGAATACAATAGTGTTCCTAGGCCTATAGGAAAACATTCTGTTTCTCCATCTTATTCTTATTCATTACATTTCAATACCACCAGTAGCCAAAACTCTCTGGGTGGTTCACAACATTTAAGACACCCATCCAGATTTCAACCAGGGCTAGCCCTGCTTTGCTTCTGAGATTAGGCAGGATCAGGCACTTAGAAACAGAGCGAGTCAGAAGGGGTCTCCTGGGCCATCTAGTCTGACCCCCAGCTCCAGCCAGCTCCGCTCACAACATGCCTACCATGTGCATGTCCAGACTATCCTCGGACACCCTCACCCATGGGGCTTCAACCACCTCCCATGGAAGCCCGTTCTATACCCTTGGAGCCCTGACTGTCAGGAAATACTTCCTGGCATCCAAGTTGAACCTTGGTTCCCTGAGCTTCGCTCCGTTGGAGCTATACGAAAGCTATATAATAAACTTCTGCTCATATTGGTCGTATTTCACTGGCCTGTTGTTATTATTTATGTATTTATTATATCTCACTTTTCCCCCATGAACTCAAAGCATCTTACATCATTCTCCTTCTCCTTCTCAAAATCTTATCCCCACAACAACCCTGTGAGGTGGGTTGGGCTGAGAGTCTGACTGGCCCAAAGTCACCCAGTTGGCACCATGGCTGAGCAGGGGCTGGAACCCAGATCGCCTGTGTCCCAGTCCCGCTCTCTTAACTGCCCTGCCATACTGACTCTTCTAATCATTTCTTCCTAGTTTAAGCTCCCAATCTTGACATCACCATGGAGAACACATTTGATATTTTAATAGAAAAGAGGACATAAATCACTTTTAAAATAAATAAAAACAAAGTTTTTACAGTGCCATCTAGATGCTTTACGGGATTTTGTTTAAAAACAGCAAACCATCCCTGCAGCCCCCAAACTGAGGAGCTTACAGTTTAAAGAGAAGCATTTGGAGGATGCGACTGAGACGAGGAACACAGATTAGGAACGCATGCTTGGTCGCAAAAGTACGAAGGAATCCATCTCTGTCAGCGCATTTGGAGAATGTGGCACTGGTCTTACTCTCAGTTCATTCTCTCTCTCTCTCTCTCTCTCTCTCTCTCTCCCTCTCTCTCTGCCTGTGATCCTGGGCCCAGAAAAGCAGCCTCAAAGGTAAG